CTGGGGGATCACTGGCAGCAGTGTCAGCCTGTGAAAAGGGGGCAAGGGGAAGAGACTGTGGCCTCCTTTCATTCAGGAGGGTCAGCTGTCCCACCTGTTCCCCTGCTCAGACGTGGGTAGCCGGGATGGAGGGGATGGGGCCCTGACAGCATCCAGAATAAAACTCCATCGAACAGAAGGAATTCCGTATTAAAATGGGAAGCAAATGGACATGGCCACAACAGAAACAAGGAGCAGAGGCACACAGGACACTGCAACAGAGCTGGTATTTGGCTGAATCAGTCCTTTGGGAATGGGGGACCAGGCCAAGAACAAGCTTCTTAAAGAAAGACTAATGATGGATGAAACTTGGTAGGTGCAGAAGGGCGACTTGCTTCGGAAACCTGATCCACTGCCAGCTGTTTATTTAAACAAATACCGCAGTGTCAGCCTGCAACAGCAGCAGACTCCCCTGGAAGGCTGCTCCTGACCAAGCTACACAGTTTTGCATTTAGGCAAATTTCTCAGCTCTGAAGCCAGAGCTGGCCTGGATCCTTCATTTCTCATTGGGAGCACTGAGGACGTGCCTGAGCAGGGAACTCTTTGTACATGCCAACGGGATGCCCCAAACCATGACAAAATCTCTGCAAGGTTTCTTCTTGCTCCAATATCTTTGGTAGCCACACACTCCAGCATCTGCCATGGGGCGACTTGCATCCCCACTGTGACCAACGCAAGTGCAGGGGATACCAAACCTTGAAACCAAAGAAGCTCCAAACCTGTCATTCAAGCAGCTGCATTGGCAATAAATTTAGTATTTAAAGAAGTCCATTGACTGTTTAAAATGCAGCAAGAGTAGCCATGGGAACAACCTCAATAGAGTTTTACTGACCTGAAAAGTGACACTGCAAAGACATGTAGAAGCGCTCCTGGAGGCACCAACATTTTTCCTCTCAAAGGAAGGAGTTAAGCCTATTTCAAATCAGCTAGAAAACTGAACTGGGCACAGTAAATTATAGGGCAGTAAATGCTTTGACTTTTTCAGACTGTGCCAAGAGAAAAGCAGACTATATGTTTAGATCTGAAACAAAACAAGAGTGGCTCATGGTTTTCATTTGAAATATTTGGGAAAAACACTGTTTTATTAACAAGTTGAACCTTTAGGAAAAGGAAGGGGCGGTAATAAGATGTTTTAAAAAGTGGAAAAGTTTTTACAAATGTCATTTAAGATTTTCAGAAAAAATACATTTTTGTGTGGAAAAAATATGTTAAGTGATATTTTATGGGAAATGTAAGCTTTTTCAGAAAACATGTATGTACTTTGAGTACAGCTGATAGATTTTAGAAGATCTAATTAAAAGTTCCTCAGACTTTTGTGCTACTTAGTCCCTGATGCAAAGAGCAGGAATTAAGGGAAATCTGATTGTATTGGGATCCGCCTACAGTATTTAGTAGGATACTTTGGGCCTTTCTTTCTTCTTAGCTTGCACTTAATCCCTTTCGGAAAAGTTCTTCTTGTCTTCCCTAGGTCCACTCATAGAGCTTGCATTAATAACTTCTGTCTTTACCATCCACCATCTATATGTCACAGCAAGCAAAGGAGCTGGTCAGCTGGGGAAGATTATGTCCTAGAGCCTAAAATGAAGGGATAAAGAGAAAGAGATCCAAGTACCTTGTGTAATTTCTTCCTGTTATTTGGGAAATAAACTAATTGTATTGCTTTCTCATGCTCGGATTTCCATGATAAATGGTTAGAGTTGAACTTAAAGCAGTAAAACCAAACACTGCTTTTCAAGTCTCGCTATTCACCCCCAGTTTCTTACTCTACCTGTGAGCAACCAGACTTAATTTCTTAATGGTTCAGACCACTGAATCTTAGAAGGTTAAAAGGAGACTTGCCTCTGTTTTATTCTCTTTAACATAGAAAGGGCACTCAAAATCTCATGCCAACGTTTATCTGTCCAAATGGCAAGGGCAGAGATTTAAGCCCAGGATGCTGTTCCCATCTTAATCAAGCTCAGGACTGTCAGAAGTGGGAACAGACTAGGACATATCTAGTCATCATCCCTGCATCATCCCTGTGTGGTGGGATTAATAGCAAGGAGAAGTGTTTCTCTGCTCTATACAAACAAACTATATCCTGATTATAAATAAAGACATCCTATGGACCCCAGAAACAATGCTCAGCGTTGCTGGTAGGTTGGAGGATTGCTGACTAAGCATTTCTTTGCCCATTTGAACACTTCAGGCCAAAAGGAGGAAAGCTGGGATGCAGACTGGGAAATTCAAAGCAGGACATTCAAATCCCTTAGATTCTTTTGAAAATCTTGGCTCAACACTCTACATGCCAGTGTCTAACAAGCCTCTCGAGAAAAAAAGACAGCAAACACCAAGACTTATTAATAATCAGTCCAGCTTCTTAGCACCTTCTCTTGTAGCTTTGGTTGCTAGGAAGTTTGTGTCAATACACAAAAAAGAGAAGTATTAATAGAAAGAAATAGCAGCTGATGGGATCTTTGCACAGCAGTGTAGCCAGTGCAAAGGATGCCCTTGCAGGACACGCCAGCCTGTAAAGCCTTCCAGGATCCATCTCTACTAGCAAGACAACACTGCAGAGGTCATTCTCTGGTCCCGTGGCTATGCTATGGTCTATGCTATTAAACTCTCTCACTCCCCAAAAATGGGTGACTGTAACATACAGCTCACTGGGAGCGTGTCCTGGCCATGCTCCCAAATTGTTGGTGCTAACACAAGCTGGTCTGGGTCAAAATCATCCAGGGGACCATGTCTGCAACTTCTGATCTATGGAGAACCAATGCCCAAGCCCTGCTGCTTTTATTTCACTCAAAAATATAGCCACTAATTCCAAGCCACAGGCTGGTCTGATGCTGAGATCTTTAGAGACTTCCTAAACTGTAAAGCTATGCTCCAAATACTTGGTACTTGGACAGTCCTGATCTGATTTCTGCAGCATTTTGGTGATACGACTTGATAGCTACCTTCCCTTGTTTGTAAATTGCTTGGGAGGTGAAAAAGCAGGCAAGATGTGGAAAAGATCATTAAGTACAGACAAAAAAAAATAAGCTGGAAAAGAGATATCTGGCCTTTCTCCAAGACCCACATATGGAATAGCTCCCTTGAGCTCAAGCACTTTCATGCCCAATGTGGCAGAGCTTGCATTGGAGGGGGCTATTTTTCCATTATCATTTCCTAGAGAAACGTGGTATGGATGGTTCAAGCACAAGCCTCATTAGGCTTGCTTTTCTTCAGCGTGTTTAATGCTCCATTTACAGGTGCAGATGCCAGGATGAGGCAAGAAATGGTAGTGCCCTCGGTATGGGGCTGTGCATGCACAAGGAGAGTTTGGAGGGATGAGGGGAGCTCCCAAATGGTTGCAGACAAAGTCACTAACCCTTGCCTTATCCCACATGATCCTCCCTCAGCTGTTCTGCTGGGCCATGCCATGTGCTGTCCAACAACTGCCGCATTCCTCACAGGAGGTGCCTGTGCTACAGGGGCTAGGGAGCAGCAAAGGACCTTCCTGGGCCTGCTGCAGAGCTTTTCTCTCCCACAAATGCTGGAAGTCTTTGGGAAACTGTGTTTCCAGCATATGTCACTGCTCTTGATCAGCAACGACCTCATAGGGGGCACACGTTTCTCCTTGTTTCAAGCACTGGAGCAAGTTAGCTCTAAACATGCATGAGCGAGTGAAAGAATTGGGGAATAGGTCCAATTTCTCCTCTTCCTGTGATCTAATTGCTTGATCATGGCATTTGCCTGCAGAGAGATAACAACAGTTAATTCCTGGTTCTGTGTTCGGCAGAGCCATCCTGCTTGGCCAAAAGCCCTGGTTCAAGTTCAGGTGTTCAGTGGCTCCATACTTCCACCTAGTGACCTAGAGCTATGCTCACATCTCCTGCTTTTCATCGTCTCCTTTCTGTTACATTGCAGGAATGTTTCCTATGTTCCCATTTTTGACTTTGTTCACTCCTGTTGGGGGTTATTTCTACTGATACTCATAAAATCTACAATCTTCAAGTGAATGGCTGCACATGAACAAAAATAGATGGCCTAGAGGGAATATTTTTAACTAGAACTTTCCGTCAGTAAGAAGAAAATTTATGCATTGATGTATATGCACATAAGTGTATTTACGCACACACAAATGTGCAGACGTACATGCATAAAATATGTACATTCATGTATCAAATTGTACTGCTCTCCTCTATGCTGGGCAGTTATACCTAAACATGGTCATCAGCCTGTATAGTGAGAGAGGCTTTACATTTCATATAACGAATCCCTTGCGTGATTCCCTCATTCCTGTCCTAGCAGATGTGTGAGCAAGGAGCCTGTGTGGTCATTCAGGACAGTGATACCCACCACCTCCCCTCTTATCTTCTAAATTGCAACCTATTCAGAAAGGCATTTCCTGAGGTCCAGTTCCACAGCTTAGCTGTGGCTTTTGTTAACACAACATTTTCCTCTTCCCAGTCAAATATATTCATTGTACTTGTAAGTCTGAGGCTTTTTTTAATGTCTTTTGTATAAAGCATTTCCTCAAGACTGAGGAAATGTGTCCTCAAGACACAAATTAATGTACAGAACATCAAAGACAGTGTTTTTTTTCTGTTTACTCTGAGATGTAAAGAGTTTGGGAGCCTGAGTGTGGCAGAGTAAAAATGAAAGATTGAATGTTTTGGTGCTGGATGCACTAATAAGCCTTAACGACCCTGACCAGCCACACTTGAGGCCTTCTCTCTGCCCACACAACCATGAGCCCACTGGTCCATTTAAACTCAGCCCAAGAATGCCTCTCTTTTTTTGAGTTAGGTTACAGGTACAAGTTTTCCAAGGTCTTTTTCCTAGATGGATCTTGGACCTGTGTTGTAGCTGTATTTCTAGCCCTATTTCCTTTCTCTTGTGATAGGATCCTGGATCTGCTCTGTTCCATATGTCTGGGGCTGTCAGTGGACCTTTTTACCAAAAAAGTTACCTTTTTACCAAAATCTAGCTCAACCCACACTGTTCAGACCCATCAGAGTGTGCCCCGTCTTTGTGGGCACTGCCTGTACCAGGGCCACCCTTGACTTCCAGCTCATCCTTCCTCATGGAGCAGCTGGCCCTCATGCCTTGTCACAGGAACAGACTTCTGCTTCAGAGACAAAACCCTGAGTTTTGTCACCTCTGGTGACAAAGTTCCTACTTTTGGTGAGTAAGCATGTATGGAAAGAAAGGGATAAACGAAATAGACTTCCATAGGAATATATCTGAAGTATTTCCTCAACACTGCTGGTTATTCTGACCATGCTTAGAGTGAAACTTGGGCTAATAAGTAAATGAAGTGTAGACTTTTGGGCAGAACAGGGTTAAACTTCACTGGGTTCCTGTAATCATTGGCTATGTGCAGTTGAGACATGGGGGCTTGGTGCACAAAGAAACCAAACCCATCTAATTCCACTGTTGGGCACATCTCCAAAACTTGCATGAAAGCTGATCATCTGTGACTTCCTGCTGCTGTGACTTTGAGCTGGGGAAGAACAACCAAGACTGTTTTGTCTCCTACTGGAGATGAGGTAAGGGCATGCATACCTAGTGATGATGATTGACCGGTGTGTGGTAACTCATTAAACTGTAGTATTGTTGTGTTGCAGAGCAACTTGTGAGTTTCAATGGAAATTTCCATGAAGATATTCATACTACACCCATGTGCCTGGTCACTACTCACTGTCTCACCACTGACTGTGCCAGATCCCAGGGTATATGTGCTCAGGTACCCTGCGTATGCCAAGCTCGGAGGCTCCTAGCAATGCTGTAGTTAAGGGATCAAGTTATATACCAAGTGGAGAACAATGCCAGGTTACTCCCTCGGGACAAAATAGTTAACAGTAGCAAGTAGCTTATGTTAATAATTAATCTTGCCCGATGGACAGGTCTGTGGCGTGCATCAAACATGCTGAGAAACTAGTCTGGTGATTTTCAGTGCAATGCAGCTTGTGACCCACACAGGCACTGAACTGAATGCCAGACACAGCTGTGGACCTGCAGTTGCAGTAGAGCTGGTGCCAAAGGGATGGAACAGCTATTCTGCCATCTGCACTTCCACACTTTGCTCCTGTGAGGAAGGGAAGAAGAATAAATGGAATAAGGTAAGTAATACTAAATAAATAAATAAATAAATAAAATAAAAAATAAAGTCTGAAGAAGAGTAATAGCAATAAAGACAAATGATCTTTTATAGACCTGCTTTAAAATACAAGGTCTACATGCATCAAAGCTGTGAACTCTGATTCCCTACAGATTCAGTTTTAAGGCCTGCAAGGAATACTGAGTGAAAAGTTAAAGCAGCACTTGCGATATAATGGTAGAAGCAACACTGCTATTCTAGTGTTTTACATCACTTTATTCTGGTCTAACTATTCATATGTTTAGATTTACCAGAAAAGACAGAGAAAAAGAGTAGAGAGTACCTGATATTGTGTACATGAATGATTTCTGAAGGCCAGGTGTGTTTGCCAGGAGTAAATATAAAAAATGTGCTCTTCGCTAGGTGCTTTTCTATAGACTCTGTAATGAGACATCAATTGCCTCTATTCAACTGCAGCTTCTTCATAGGTAAGGCAATGTCTCAGCTTTCAGAATACTTTATTCCCATTGTGCTTTTCCTAGGGTGTTGGCTTGCAGCTTTTATATCATAAGACTCACTGTGGTTGCCATATGTTTCACTCTGATCCCTCAAAAAAAGCTGATTTGAGAGAAAAGGTGCTCTGGAGATAGCACAGTGTCTGCCATTAACATTCATTTTAGACCAGGAGTGCACGTTTTAAAAAAAAAAAAAAAAAATCTAGAAATACTTAACATGTGGATGTAAATCTTTAGTATGTGTGGTTTGTGCTACAGATCTGCTTGCATGTGGTTTTGCAACAAACGCATATACGATTTTGATCTGGATTTTGTTCTTTGCTTCAATTATCATTAAATGTTTTGCTGCCCAAGTGGCTTATTCTAAGCAGTGGTTTGTGTTCTCTATTTCTTTGTCTGATACAACAGCCTCCTGCTCTTCTCACAGACTTGCAATATAAAGTAGCAATACAATCCCCACAATACAGTCAGGACTTGTTTTTCATATTATAGGGAAGGCACTAAAGTATTAAAGTCAAGAGTTTGGGCAGAGATCTTCTGAAATCCCCATTCAAAGTCGAGATGAACCTCTTGAGACCATTTCTGAGTGTTGAGGTAATGATCTTTGCAGGTGAGTGTGTAGAAGTATTGAATCCAACCACTCTGGTAATGCAAAAACTGCAAAATCCAGTGTCTCTGGATTAGGTAAAATGTAAGGCATGTAAGACATCTAAGAGAGGTTGGATCCTATGGGATATTGACTGCACCATTTTAGAATTTTGCAACCTTTGACAGTGACTTTTTGTTGTCTTGTTTTCAAAGTTAGCAGGAATTTGAGGTGGGATATTTGGATTTGTAGTTATTTCTTCTGTTCCACTTGGATTCCCCTTGTGCTTGTTGGTTTCCATTTACCTAATGGTTTTATAATCTTTATGTGCTTATGCTACATGTACAATACTTGGACGAATAAGATTGTGAGATTAACATGTGGCCAAGAAGCTGGTAATCAGTTGAAATGTTACACAAACTGGGTATCACTGTAAATAAGGGCTTCTAAAGAAAAGTCTGAACATTGGCTGGCAATTTCTTTCATAGACACTCACTCATCTGCATTCTAATCGGAAGATGAGGGTTCCTCAAACAAAGCCTAAATCACCTGAAGAATTTGATGTGTTTATGAAAAAGAGTAGCAAGTTGCAGGTTTAATTTCATGAAGCAGGAGTTCATTTCCAGTCTGGTGTTTCTGTTTTCTAAGGACTTCTCCAAGAGAGTGCTGGACAGGTTGTCTCAGAGCCAGAAATAGATTCAGTGTGTTGGCAGTCCTACTTTCGGTAATCGTGTGCAGAAGTAAGCAAGCAGATTTCCTTGAAAGATGAAGCAATAAGGACAAGTTTTATCATGCTCATTTTGGTTTTAGAGGAGAACATTTGGGCTTGGTTCAATCCACCAAGTCTGGAATTGTGGTGTTTTTTTTTTTTTTTTTTTTTTTNTTTTTTTTTTTTTTTTTTTTAAACAAAACAAAAAAACCCCACATCTCTGAGAAGCAGGACTCTTACATAGGGTGGAAAGTTGTGTGTAAAAGGGACATGTAATATGACATATTTGTGTGCCTATGAAGGAGAATTAAAGAGGATACTGGGACTGCAGAAGAGCAGCTGTTGGGCCAATAAAAAAATGCCTTCTCCTGAATGAGATGGGTTTGATACTTGTGTTACATCAACTTGACATGGTTGGGTTATTTTTGCAGTGACAGCTACAGGACTGCATATTAAGCCACAAGAGGGTAGTGTTGCTGGAGGAACATGGATTACTATTACCTTGCCTGGTGAGTTTTTAACTCAAATCACATGTAAAAGGAATAATAGAATCAATGTTGTTTTGAGTTTTGGAGTCAGAGTGGCAAATTCCAAATAACAGATGCACAGTTGCTTGGGCAGCTCAAAATTGTCTTGAAGCTATTACTTCATAAACCTTTGTTGATGATAAGCTAAATCTTCTTTCTTTTTTTTTTTTGCGATAAAAGTTTGATTTGGGTCTTTTTTGTAGGAATAGAAAATCTCTTCCCCTCTTCCTTTTTTTTTTTTTTTTCTTATTTAAAAACAAACCCTAAAATCTCTTCCATTCATAGATCATCTGAAAAAGGAACTTTAAAAACACTAGTGATAAATGTGAGATCTGAGCAAAAGCCAAACTGATACTTTGCTAATCTATGCCAGAACTGTTAAATCCAACCGCTCAAAATTAATATCTCTTTTTATTCCTTGTTCTAGGGGTGATGAATGTTGACTCCTTGGGAAAGATTCTTATTTTTACGGGCCAGTTTTATGTTCTCTCGTTGTTCAGTTAAGATGTTCAAGTTTTGATTTATTCCTTTATACCTGTGATGAATGTCATGTGTATTGCTCCTCTGAATGGTGTTATGTTCCTATAGAGAAGATGAGTGGGAAGGAGGGGGAACTCGTGTCTTCAGAGAGGGATACACCCCTACTTAGGAGTGCTAAGCACTGCTGCTAAAGAAACAGCAAATCTCACATTCCATTTTTATATCATGCATGCCTGAAAGTGAGTTATGTCCTCACTAAGCTCTTCTCATTCATTTTTGACTACTTAGGTTCAGCATCTCACCAACTAGAGCATTCCTTGGCCAGTGGCTCCCATCTGGAGGTGTCCCTAGTGAATCCAGGTCTACCCAGATTACCTTGTGATGTTTCTCCTATGTATTTTGACTCATCCACCATAAGATGCAGAACAAGGTATGATCTTTGTGTGGATAGCTGTCTGTTATTTTCCTAGTAGGATCCTCACTTTTTTTGTGCTCGAACAGGCAGTTTGGGAGTGTGTGGCTGCTGCTATCACTGTATCTGATCAGTGCTGCTCCTCCTAAACTGTGCTGCATTTATACTTGCTTCAGCTTAAGAAAGCACTGGGATCAGCATCTTGTGGGTCTTACAATGAGTTTTGGAAAACCTAAGACTCTAATACTTAAAGGTTTGTGAGCAACTAATTATTTAGGCGTGTAATTCCCAAGAAAATCTAGGGATTTCTTCCCTTTTAGGTAGCCTTGACCTGTCCATGATCATAAAAAAGTAGTGGTAGAGCTGGAAATGTAATGTGTTTGAGTATTGCCTAAGCAATCCAAGCTCCTTTTCCAGTCTGTCACAATTTCAAAGATCTTTTTCTTTCAACTAGAAGATTAAGTGCCTCTCAAGAAGCTATAAGGGGGACCCTAATGGAGCTCTTCCATCTCTGGCTTCTATGATTTCGCTGGGAGTTATTTCTTCTGGTGAATATTATGATGAGAAACTATGTGCATTAAGGATGCATCATTAATTTACAAACCAGGATCAAGCTGCCCTGTAAATCTAGGCAGCCTTGGGTTATTTTAATACTAATGAATAACAATTAGTTATTAGTATTAATGAACACTAATGAGCATGTATGTGTTTTGCATTTACATACAATTTGGATAGTTAGAGTTCTGATATAGCCCTCTAATCTTTTGTATTTCTCTGAAATTCTTGCTCTGGGTCCACATTTCTCTTTAATTCCAGCTTTTTAGGAGACTGCTTTGACCTATATATCTTAGTGCAAGCTTTGTTTGCTCTATCAAAGCCTCAAGGGATCTGACAAGCATGTAGACCCCAAGAAACATATGGAATTTGCTTAAAAATAAACATAATTCTGTATAAAAAAGTGGCTTTTTTTTTCCTTCCAGGTCTTCACCTCGGGAAGGTTTGTACTATGTGGAGTTGCTATCACAAGGAAGGATGATTAACAATCTGACTGGGATGGAAAAAGAAAGCTATACTTTCAAGGTACAATCAAGCAAGAATGGAAGTGATGATAGAGTTCAAAATATTGAAGATAGCCAACCTTTAGGCTTGAGATCAATCACAGGAGACATCCTGTGAGTATCTTTCATACTGCCTGCCAGATTGCATGTCAGGACAAGAAGGTCAAGCTGCAACTTACATCTTTAAAAATGAAATGCACATATGTACTCAGTGCTTAGTCTGTCGTTGGATAGATTAAGCAATCTAGGATGCCTTTCTGAAGCAAAAAACTGTGTCTGTTAACCTGTTTCAGCACTGAAATCATTGTCCACCTTATTGTGAATCTTCTAGCACCTTGCTCCTTGTCCAGGAGAATTGTCTAAGCAATCAACCATGCTTTTTGTGAACCCATGGCCTTATTTGCCAGCATGTTCAACTTTCAAGGGAATGCTTTTAGAAGGGTATACCTGATCATGCTACCATTTATAAGGAAATCCATTGGCTCATCAAGTAAACATTGAAGGCAACTAATGAACCCTGAGACGTAAGTGTAAACAACTAAAAATTGCATCAACCTGAAGTGCTGTGGCAAACTTTAGACTTTCTTGTTCTTGGCCCAAGATCATTTGACTTTGTTCCTGCTGAAAATGTTAGTTAGTCCCTATGTTTCCTTCTGGAGACAACGTCAGAAGTGGAGCATAATACCATTCTTCAATGGATTCATAAGGACCATGGAGAGGTACAGGTTGCACATATACCTACTGGCTGAAGATGCTTTCTCAATCTGCCTATAGGGCTCTTTACCTGCCACTTTTCTAACTGTGTTCATATTACTGCAGAGCAATTTATACAATCTTGGAATTACAGACTCAGGTTGGATAGACCTTAGGAGGTCCCTTTTTGCTGAAAACAATGTTAGCTGTGAGATCAGACTGGGTTGCTCAGGGATTTATTTATCTGAGTCTTGAAAATTTCCGTGGATTAAGTTTTTGTAGCCCTCTAGGACCTCAGTTCGATACCTGACTGTCACTGTTTTTGTGAACGGGCCCAGACGTTTTAACATAAAAGCAGCTATGCAGGTACAAACAATGGACAGACACAGTATTAGCCTAGTCCAGACAATTCTAGTTGAACTGAATGGAGGAGCTTACGTGATTACTTCTTCTGGGGTTATGCTCCAAGCTGTAAAGTGTTAGTGTAGAGCTTGTCAGCACTGTCAGGCAGCAAAGGGCAAGAATACCTCTGCTTTCAGAAAAGGGCATCTCTTCAGGCCTGTTGGAGCTTTTCACCAGCAAACCAGAAGTCAGAATACATTGTCTTTGGAGGTTGTGGGGTATGGTGGTGTCAAAGTTGTTAATGATGATGGTGCCAGGGATTCGTGCAGAGTGGAATGCTTAAGCTTGGATGTTTGCTTGAGGATGAGGCCTGGTGTGTTTGGGAGTCACGTCCCACCTCTGTGCTAAATTTGAGCATTGAGCAAGAAAGCCCAGTGTTTCAGTAAATGGCACATTAAAGCTGACGAGTCATTGGGTGGTTCAGCTAGCTTAGAGAGCTGATGAAAAATCACCAGGGGATGTTGTTAATGAGACACATTCCAAGCTAAATAAAACACAATGTGTCTCTTTGTTTTGGGACTGGGACCTGGGAGCTATGCGTATTAAAAATTAATTTTCTCCTCTGCAGTAGATTGAAAAAGCCTGCTGCAGGCAGCAGCAAGTCTAAACAGCTCAGACTTCAGTGTCAGCTAGTGGCCCCGGATTTCCAAACTGTTTTTCGAAGTCTTTTTCTGAATCTTGTCCTGTCTTGGGTGTGATGCTGCCTTTGCTTCTCTGTGGTGACCAGCACTGGAGTCAGTGTATGGTTATTCAGTCATTTTTTTTCATGTGACCATTACCAGGAAAGAAGACTGGGCTCTGAAAGGGAATGACATCCAAGAAAAGCTTGGATAAAGCATAGAGCGTAGAGGGGATGAGGAGGGAAAGACAGTACTTTCTGAAAACAATGCTAATGTATTATATCACATTAAGATGGAGCTCAAATTGGGCCAATGTTAGCATTTTCTTGGCAAAGATGATGCTTTAAGAGTCTGGGAGTCAACAAGCTTGTTGAAGGCAAGGTTGGCTCTCTGTTTTGTGATGCAGAAATAGTTTTTAAGGATATCTTATCTCGGCAAGAGGGGAAGGGACTGAGGCCACCATGCTAGGCAAAATGGAGCCTTGACTTAAAAAAAGCGTGGTTTGGATTTTTTATAAAACCATCTTTTATGAATAATAAATGTCTCAAGCTGGGGTGAGCAACTTACACACAGACAAAGAGAATGCAAAAATAGCAGCAGGTCAGATCTGAATGCAGAGGGGGTACAAATCTCCAGGATAAGAAGGGTATGTCTGGACTTGCTCCCTTTTCAGAGCAGGGCTCCACTTCAAAGATCAAATCCTAAAATGTGAGGCTCTGAAATGGGTCGCCAACTGTGTTGCGAGCAATGTGTAATCAGATCTTGTCAGGCTGCTGTGAAAACGACTGCCATTTAACTACAAATTTCTCCTTGCAGTTCTCTGCTGTGCAGACACCTGTGGTTTACCAAATTAGTCCACCATCTGGCGTCCCAGGTATGATATCTTTCTTGAAGATGGAGCCCACTTTAATTATTATTTGATGTTCCATAGCGTCTTTCTCCTTATGGTGGGACTGTCTTGCTGGGGATTAAAAGGGGCATCTCTAGAACTTAATGTCCAAACTCATGCTGAACCGGAAAATGGATTTTCATAGGGGAAAAGTTTTCTGCGTTGGATGCAAGAAAAACAGATAATCTGTACTGACCATTGGGGCTTTTGGTACTTGCTCTCCATGGACAAACTCTGCCTCAGCAGAGATGTTGTTTAGTGTAGAGGTAAATTTAATCAATCTCAGTTCTTAGACCAATTGTTTTATTTCTGTCGTAGTATTTTTAACAAGGACTAGCTATTTGGTGCTGATATTATGATGTCATACACACTTGCGGTTAATGAGGTTTTTAGCTAAGACTTCAAAGTTACCTGAAAAGATGATCATTGGTACTGGTATGAACAGTTAAGTGCTGTTTGGAAAACATATTGTTTCTTTTTTTCCTCCCTACTGCTGTTCTGTTGGTATTTCCAAGTTTATTATAGTTATTAAATAGTTATATATATAGAACTATATATAGTTATTATATAGTTATTATATATTTCCAAGTTCATGATCAATCAAAATATTCTGTCCCCTAGGAGTGCAAAGAGATATTTTCTGTGATTTAGAAGTACCTAAAGGATCTAATCACCTAAGTCCACTTGAAAATAATTAGAAATTAGGAGTGGATTTCAGGTCCAGAGTCACATCTCTTGACATTTTTTGGGCTCAGAACATGTTTAGTTCACAAAAGCAGCACAAACATGCTTAGTGCATGTGGGTGATAATGTCTGAGCCATGGTGTTCTGGAATTGAGTTCAATTAGATGTTTTTAGTTAACAAAATAAATGAAGGGAAATATCTTCTCAGTACCAATGGTGGAGGCGAGTTGGAAAAATCAAGAATAGATTGTTTTGTGTGTGTGAAACAAAGGAGTGTTCTTTTTGGACAAGGGAATTTGAGTGTAAAGTCACCTTGAAGTTTGATACAGAGAGCAGACACCAATGCAGCCATCTGGGCCACTCTGCAAACTGCAGGGACCAAGAATTTCTCTTCAGTTCACAAAATCTGCAATTCTGCTTTTAAAAGACTCACTTTAACTTCCATTCCCTTTCAAACAGGAAATTTAATACAGCTCTATGGGAAGACAATTACTGGAAGATATGAAACCCTGGACTTCAATGTCGATTATGTCGATGGGTAATTATATATAAACTGCTACCTGCCCTAGTCTCTGTAAACTGGCATTTCTTCCATCAGCCTCTTTGACAGCAATAAATCGCAGCCAGTTGGCCCAGAATTGCCATTTCCTTCTTTTGTGGTTTATTGCAGCTCATGAGTTGGGCTCCAGCAAACTTTGTTAATCTAATTGCAACTGGTCCATTAAGCTAGTTGGTTTGTTTACTGGCAGCACAGTCAATCACAGCTCAGTGTGAATTGTACTGTAATTGCATCTGGTTGTTGTAGATTTTATTTTGGCTAGCAAATTAAAATTTAACTAATTAAAATAATGTCAGAATCTAAAAGTTAAATAAATTTTCCCTTTCATTTGCATTTTTAGAAATACTTTAGTTTGAAGCAAACACTCCCATGGGGAGTCAAAAGGCCAAGCAGAAGAATTTTGAGACAAAAAAAAAAAAGTTTGCATTGCTTCAATTCTTCTCTGTCCATTTTTCTCTTTTCAAGAAAGGTTTCATTTTTTTCTGCTCTTTTTTGATTATGCATGATACAGAAAAGCAGGTAAATTTCCAAATTTTTTGATTCTGGGACAACAGGACTTTAAGCACAGTGAGTCCAAAATAGGTTTGAATTTGATCAGGAACAGCCTTCATATTTCCATAACTTTTCCATACATACATTTCTAAAAACTCTCTGGCTTCTATTTTCCTTGCTCTTATGACCATGGCAGTGGATCACTAAGCCCAGATGGATACTTTAAACAAATTATTAATCTATAGTTACTCTAGTATTTTAAGGAAAAGTTCAGGACCCAGGGAAGCTTAATATCCCTACTAGTTACCTAGAAATTCCAATTACCAGTTTGCACACATGCAGATGTTTGACCACTGCATGTTTCTTAGCTATTCCTCAGACTGAGTGGAAAATTTTCTTGCTAAATGTCTAAATTTTCTGCTAATCAAAATGTCCGTTGCAAATTCCTGGCATGTTAATTGCACCTGATATCAGCCCTACATTTTTTTTACTCTCTGGAAACCCATGAATGTGTCCTTTGTTCAATATTTATTAGCCTTTGACGGAACTGTGAGATCTTTGATCAATGTGAAGAAAGGCTGGGCTATCTGACTTTGGATTGGATGTGACTGTGTGCTTCATTGCCACATTATTCATTTACAGCATAAGCTCACTCATAATCAAAGAGGAAACGGACTCCAAATATTAGCATACCTCACAAGTGCATACTATTGCTTCACGAGAATGCTTGTCCCATACTTGTTTGTTTGCTGGTAACTAGGTACTAGGAAGTACTAGGAAGTACTAGAAGGAATTTGGACTTATTGTTCCTGTGCAGGGTGCTCTTGGTGTCCCTGCTTGAGTAGGAAGGTTGGACTAAATGATTACTAGAAGTCTCTTCCAACCTCAACCATTCTGTGATTCTATAACTTCACCAAAGCCATGTGCAACTCAGTTCACACTTGGTAAGACTCAAAGCGGAAGAGGTAAAAGTTTTTATACTTATGAAGGCATTCTGCACTCTTTTTTTCAGGCTTGAAATATAATGGGATATAATGGTCCAGTGATGTTAAATCAATTGTTTCACAATCCTACAATACTTTTTAAAATTTTCCTTAAAAAAAAGCTATCTGAATACTAGAAAACTCTATTAATAAAACCTCCTATAACTGCACTCTGAAGTCTAGGTCATAGCAAAGTGTTTGCATTATAGTAAGTTTTTAATTACATGTTTCCCTTAATTGCCTGTTAATTCTCAAAGAATCATTACTACCCTTTGCTGCTTATGCTAATTACTGTTAATTTATTGTTCCCACCTGATTCCTCTTCTCCAGTGGAACCTGCCTCTTTCCCAATGCTTCTTCAAGGTGGAAATACTCCATTTTGCTCTTATGAGTTTGATCTCTAGCAGAAATTGTTTGCTGGAGTCTCAGTTCAATAAAAGATCATAATTTCAACCGAGAAGCTCTGTATCTTGTCTTAAAGTTGTGTCTTTCCTGTTTTCTTTCTGCCTAGGCCAGCTCTCCTTGTGTCAGAAGGAGATGGATGGACCAGTCTCTGCTCTTTTGTTGACAAACAAGCAGGACACATGTTAGTTTTGACTGACATTTGGTTTGTATTTATATAAAGACTCAGCATAGCTTGTGAATAGAAAAAATTATTGGTTATTGGCTTTTTTGTAATATGAAGAATGACAAGGTGTTGTCTGCAAGTTTTATAGTTGGAGTGGATGAGGACTGCTGTCTCTTTATGGTCACAGAGAGGATCTGTGGTCTAGATGTAATGAGTGAGGACCAGAAGTTGCTTTCTGGACCAGAAGCCATGTGTTATGGCCTGGCTGCATCCGGATTTTTGTTCAGCTCTCTTAGACTCCAAAACAGGGTAGCAATGTCCAAGTCCAAGCTACCTACTGGGTATAGACTTGGGTCAACGCAGTCTCTTAACAATGAATCATATACGGTTGTAATTTAAAGGTGAGTTAGTTGAATTTGGCCAAATGTGTGCCAGGAGAGTTCTAACAATTTAACAATATAGGTGGACAGCATCCAATGACCAACTCCTGACACTGCACATTTCTTGGAATGAATGTATCCCTATGTCCTGGAAGTAGTAAGAGATGCTTCTGGACTGCTGCACCTGCCAGAGACTGTGCAGTAACATTCCCTTTATTGTTGTGTACAGTTTCTTTTATACTTTGAGCCATAAGAGAAAGTTGATCCCTGGAAAAAGGGCGGAGAAAATGTGAGATATGGCAGGTTTCTGTTGTAGATAGTCAAGGGAAAATCCTGATTGCACAGAAATTGGTGCTAAGATTCCTGTAGTCCTCTGTGGACACACTTATTTCACTGTAAAATCCCCTCTGCATCCCAGGAGGGGAACTTAAATGCAAATGTGAGTTGGAGATGGGACTTGTGTTCTTCCATGGCTCTTCTCTTCCCAGAGGCACTGAAGGTCTGAAATGCCTTTCTCAAGTATTGCAGAAGGCAAAAAGGGAACAAATTTTATGTAAACTGATTGTAGATCTATGTGATCTGTCCATGATCATGAGACAAGTGTGAAACAACCTTTTCTCACCTCTTCTAAGGGAAGCTGAGTGACTTGCTCAGATGCAAAACTCTGCATTTTGCTTGGTTTGGTGATTCCTCTGCATTTTTCTGACACTTTGAGAGGAAAAAGAATGACATCCTTTATCTCTCTGCAGCTATCCTGTTCGGGTGGAGGATGGACTGGGGACCCTGCAGTGCCGAGTGGAAGGCAGCCACATAGGTCAGTAAAAAGGGAGCACAAACTCCACCTTCTTGGATATAGCCAACAGCAGTGAAGTCATTTGGCTTCTTTCATGTCTTTGTTCATTTGTTCAGTTTGTTATTTTTTTTCTTCTTTTCTTTGCTTTTTCTTGTATGTGACAGACCTTCTCTTTCCTCTGGATTTAACATATATAAATAGGTTGGAGGCCCACATTCATGGCCCTTCTGGTAGCAGTTTGGATCCCTTGCATTGTAGCTTCTTCTTTTTCCTCACTTCTCACCATCTAGATCTCACAGATTCAAGATAAAACAAAGCATTTATGCAAACAAATCCTACTCCTGAAAATCAGACTCAAGATATATTATTTTAGGTATTCACAATTCAATGTCTACCTATGATCTAAGGTTCTAAGCTCTTTATATTGTTATGCAGTTCAGATCCTGCACATACATGAGCCTGAGATGCTGTACGATGTTCCATGTGGTCTTTTGGTGCCATCAGAAGGCCATGATCTGTTGTAGATCCTGTGCCACGTCTGTTGATGGTCTATAGGTGTCTGCACTGCTCTACAGCATCTCAAATGATGCCTGACCTAACACTGGTTGTGTTGGGAGCTCACATATAGACTTCTGTATATAGTCATGGCCCTATATCAACTAGAGACTTGTGAAGTTCTTGATGGGCTTATTGGGATTTTGATTGGTTTTATTTGCTATTTCTGAGAGTTTTCTGGTCTGTCACTTATAGTACATGTTGACATACTTTCTTCTCCTCTTGTAAATTAAGAATAATTCTGAAACACCTACATTTGGTAGAATACACTCATCATGGAGCCCTTCACGTTCCCTCTGTAAAGTATGTGTATTCTCTCCACCAGGGTCCCATAATGTCAGCTTCTCAGTGTTCAACAAAGGAAGGTAAGTGAATACCTTCTAGTCCTCCGTATTTTCATGGGGGAACACAGTTGCATTTTTTTTTTTTTGAACCTGAGATAAGTGTAGGAAATTTTACTGAAAATTATTTTGCTCCTTTGAAAAGATTTTTATTGTATTAGGGATGGAAGGGGAGGTCATTTCTCCTTCAAAACCTTCACTTTAGAGGCTTAATACTTAACATTCTTAGTATTAATACTTAATACTAAGGTGTCCAGTTCTCTCCAGAGAAGGTCTAATCCCAGTTTAAAGATCCATGTACCTCTTGAGCATTTTCTTTCCCTTGCAGATCAGCAGTAGACAAAGATGCTTGGCTCATCAGTGCTAAACAGGACCTTTTCTTGTATCAAACACATTCAGGTATTGCGCTGATCTATCTCATTGGTTGCACACTCCCTTGGCAATTCCAGAGTAGTCTAGGAAAAAAAAATTTTGTTGCTGTTCTTCCCAAGGGTATGGTAATGTTGTGTTCTTGTTTTTAGGTGTGCAGCTCCCCTAGTATGTTATGCTGTATTGTGAGCTGATTGCACAGGAAGCTGCAGATAGAAAATTGAACAAAGACCAAATTCACATGCTAAGGCTGGCTGTCCTGCCTTAGGTCGTGCCCTAAATCCTCAGTGTATTATTTTTTCATCTCTTAGAGATGTCTTCGTACTCTCTGGTGGACAGATCTGAATTGGGAGACTCATCCAGGGAACAGCACTGTGTTCTGTAGCAGCAATAGACTTGAAGTGTTGGATCTAGTGAAGTTTTATATCCTTTTCCCCTCTTAAATCACACTGTATTTGGTAAGATTGCAGTTTTCGTAACAGTAAGGTTTTGAAATTGGATGAATTATGAAAAAATATGAAGATCTGGAAAAATTTGCCAGCTTTGTCATTAGATTTTTTCAACACTGTAAAAATGCAATTAGATGCTCAGACCAGGACATTTGAGTGAAAAATAAATAATTTTTCATCAAAGAGAAAAGTAAGTTTACAAGTTGACAGAGGATGGTGTTAATAAAGAGCAAATATGGAAATATTTGAGTGGTCACAATATGGATGTTTGTGGCGAGATATTCAGCTTCTTGAATGTGTCCTGCAAGGACTATTGGAAAGCTCAGTAGTATTTGTAGGTTAAATTCAGAAATAAGTCAGATGAAGTCAAAAAAAAACTTTATTTCAATTTTTTTCAGAGTTCCTCAGTTGCACTCTGAACATGACAGATGCAGGACTAAATAACAGTCCAGGCAATATTTCTCCTGTTACATGGGCAAGCTCTCTGCAATCCCCATGGCTTCCAAGAGATGAATGAAGCATTAGAGAGCCCTATTTCATTCACAGGAGCCTGTTCCTGTTGTAAATAGTGCAAAATGCACTGCTTTGACGGAAGTAGGAATGGGATCAATCTTTCCATGCTCATGTTCAGACTTCACTTTGTGGTTTTTTTTGTAGAAATAGCCTCTGTTTTTCCAGCTAGTGGAAGTCTTGGTGGAGGCACTGAGCTCACTATCACAGGGGATTTCTTTGAGGAGCCGGTGCAGGTCACAGCTGCAGGTAAGGGGAGATGTGTTAAATATTATTTTGTTCTTGTTGTTTTTTTTCCCCCCTAATACAATGGTATTGGCATTGACCACAGCAACTCAACCAGTAGTAATGGACAGTAAGTGAAGGAGTTGCAATTCTTGGCTTAGGAACACCTAGTTAATTTGATCAGGGAATGAACTATTTTACTTGTTCATGGTTTAAGGGCAGGATTCTGGTCTTTTTAGTATTTTTGGAGAGAAACTATGTTTATTTCAAGGACCAGGTGTTTTTCTAGATCTCACATGCCCTGTTGACTCCTTTCCTGGCTGCCAGGTGTCTGCTGTAAAGTCCAGCACCTTTCTCCCCAGAAGATCATCTGCACCATTGAGCCTGTCATCAAGAGCAGGAGACTTGCTGGCCCCCATCCAGGTACAGGATTCGTATAACTAAAAACTCAAATGGGCAAAGGTGCAGAAATGGAGGGTGGTAATCACTTGGTGGCGAATGTAGTAAAGAAACTGGGCTTCCCAAAACACTCTCTGCTTCAACTTCAAGCTGGTTGATAAGAACAGGAAAGAAGGAGAGCTCAGTCCATCACTTGCAGAGGGATTATGGTGGTGGTGGTGGGGGAAGTTCGTATTGATGCTTAAATCTATTGAAAATGATGCACAGACATTTTTTTAGGAGACAGAAATTGTTCCCTGTGAAAGAGAGGCTGGCTAATTTTGGCCATGGCTTAGCACAGCATTTCTTCCTGCAGGACAACAGGCACACTAGATTGGAAGCTCTGTTCTTGGAGGACTTTTGCTTTTTGTGGTGAAGGGTGTCAAGGTGGAAAAAAAAAACCTGAAAGCCAGAACTGTATTTTACCTTGGAGTGGAAATAGACACTCAAATGGAGTGAATCTATTATTAAAATCTTCTGTTCTGGCCTGTCTTCTTGCAGCACTAATTCTAGCATGTGCTCTGGGAGTTTGGTTGGCTGATACTGAGAACATTTTTATTTTAACTTTCTAGGAAACAGAGGGCTTCTCTTTGAAGTCTGGGATGACGCCTCTGATCTGACAGAAGCAGGTCCTGGATATAGATGGCAGTTTGTACCTAATGCCAGTTCCCCAGTAAGATTTCTGTCTGGGGCAAAGCAGTCATTCAGGTACTTAGTGATCTTAAAAAGAGATGAAGCCATGGCAATCACCTTCAGTAGTGTAAGGCGCAGCAATAACACCTGACAGTTCTTTACAGCAAAGCCTGACTGCAAAGCTCATGTGAATCAAAGCAAGCCCTCTACTCCAATGCCCCTTTGAAGCTCAAAATGTTCAGTGATTTTTTTATACATTTTTTTTTTTCCTCTTCTCACTTTTGCTCGGTATTTTTCCTCTGACTGTCCTGGATGTGCTGAAATACCACAAAAGAAATAACTGCAGAGGAAAAAACAGCTCTAGTAGAGGCTGCCTTGGGTTAGAGTCCTGGCCAGATGTGGAGGGTCAGATCCTTAGTTAACTTTGACAGTGGCAGCACAGCTGGTGCTAGTAGAAATAAACTGATTTCCCCCAAGCTGCAAATCTGTCTTTGAACAGTGCTAGTGACCATTAGGGCCTCTTGAGACAGCTATGAATGTATTGGCTGGGCACAATACATGGACAGTATTAAGACTTTGCTTAAGTAAAAATGCACAAAGATAAGTGGTCACCAGCAAAATCATGGCCACTTTTTGGGAGGAATACCTCATTTTTCACCTTAAACTTATTTCAAACCATTGTTTAATCTGAAAATGATTTTTTTTGTGTATTTGTAGCAGTTTTAAATCCCTGAATGTGTGTTTTTTGGACATAGTTACATCCCGCACTCCTTCCACATGCTGTGTACGTGCGAAGATGGGGTTTGTTGGGAGTACACTAATGTTTGTGTATTACTGATATTTTGTTTTTGTTTAGCTCCAGACTTCGTGGATTTTTTGTGGCTCCTGAGACCAACAATTATACCTTCTGGATTCAAGCAGATGGTCAGGCATCTCTGTATTTGAGCTTGTCTCAAGATCCAGAATGTAAGGTATTACTGCTGGCAGAGCAAAAATAAAAGGGTTAGGATAAGGAAGAGTTATATTTAATATAAGAATTTTTCCAGTAGGAATTAGCTTAGTGTGCCTTGTTCTGCACCTGTGGTGGATTTAAGTATGTATGATTATATTTGGTTTTACATTGGCCTTTATCAAGAACTCAGCTTTCATGAGTCATGAAAGGCTCGTTGTTGCACTCAGTCTTTGAACGTCTTTTCTGGGAGACAATTTTAGCAGTTCAACACATCTGTCCGTGCAAGGGGATCTGGAGACTTTCTGTCCTACTTTTTTAAATTATTTTTTTCCCCCTATAGAAATATCACCCCCTGGTTACTATCACAAGCCTCTTTGCATCACTGAAGCTGTGATGATGGACTTGGTGGCTTTGTTAGGCGGAGAAACAGCTCTAACTGATGATTTTGTTGGTTTGTACATAGGCAAAAATAGCTTCTCTCCCTGAGGGCAATTCCGAATGGCTGGAGCACTGGGAGAAGAGCTGGAGTGAAAACTGGCAGCAAAAATCCCCCAAATTTGAGCTAACTGCTGGCTCAAGGTACTACCTGGAAGCTTGGCATCATGGCAAGGCACCCAGCAGTGGGATGAGAGTTGGTGTGCAGATACACAACACATGGCTGAATCCCCAGGTAGTGAATACTTACTACCTGGAAAGACATGAAATTCGGGCTCGTGCTTTGCAGCTTCCTGAAGTGCAGGTCAGTGCTTTGTGCTTGGCCCTGGAAGCTAGATTGACCTTGACTATGCAGAGTATAGCAAATTCTAATGGTAAAGACCTTGACTTAGCTAAATATGAAAATGTATTCCCAACCTCTTTTAGATGGCTGAGTGAATAGTGTCATATGAGCTGAAGCTGTACATGGCTTTCAAAACATATCAGCAAGTTGACCTAACCCATATGTTTGCATTTTAATCAACTAATGTGTTGAACCAAATGCAAAGCTGCCTTCCCTCAGATTTTACCTTACTAATTAGTGACTAGAAGCTTCATATACTGGCTATAAAATGTTCCTTGGTTGAAGATTTATATGTCAAATTTGAATTCCATATATTTTACGAGGTTCGTATCTTTTAAAATGTGTTTATTTGCTTCTTTACCTGTCAGATGTTGACTGTGTCAGGTACAGGGTGGTTTAGTATCTCCTGGAACAACATATTCAGTGACATGATTCCCACAAATGCTACTGCTCAACAGGTAGGTGTCTCAACACTGAAAGCCCAGTCTGTACCGGGGTGCAACTGATGGAGCTATGGCACTTCATAGCAGTCAAGGCCTAGATACTTAGGTAGATTTTGTATGGTAAATGATGATATTTGGTATTGGGAGTGTCTGTTTTTTGGGGGATTGAATTGCCCAGGCAATGCACCACAGCATCTGATCTTGGCCTCCGCTGTCTGCAGCAAAGCCCATGTGTGGTGACTGTTAATCAGCAGTTTCATGTATGTGATATCTGGGATGGGTAGCTTGTGGCTCCTGACTTCAGACAGGAGCTCCAGACCAGTATGTTTGGAAACACTGATACAGTGAGCAAACATCCTTACTACAGCAACTGTAATCAGACTTGACCACTGTCAAAACCACTCTGTATATCTCCTCTGTGATAGTCCTTAGACATCAAAGCAGTGCAATGGATGGAGCTTGGAGGAGCATTCAGATTCGTGGGCTTGATGGGACTGATCAGCCTGCCAAAGATTTGACTAGAGATATGTCTCATTGAAGAGACTGTGTCCCTTAACCTCATGGTATCTAGGATGGTGGCAGATATCTGGTAAAAGATGATGAGAATGAGCTAAAACACTCTAATGCCACCAGTTGTGTTGACCAAGCTCTCTGTTTAGTTGCCTGCCCAGAGGTGTCTGCTGTCACCTGGGATGCCTCAAGTTGCCCAGGTCATCAGCACACGAATGGTAGGAATGGTATAGTTCTTGTTATAAATTGCATCATTCTGATGAGGCTGTTGGAGGCCTGTGCTTTGTTCAGCTGGAAGTTCAAACTGTTTTGAGCTGATTTTTACCATCTACCCGCTTTGACAAAGCTGCCTTGCCATCCTTCTCTTTTTGATGAAAAATGCAGCTATGACTTAATGTGTTGAAACTTTCTGCTTCTTCTCCATGTTGAGGGATGTGAAACTGCTGGAGAGAGTCCAGCACAGGGCTATGAGGAGAACATCTGCCCTATGAGGAAAGGCTAAGAGAGCTGGGCCTGTTCAGTCTGAGAAAGAGAAGGCTGAGAGGGGATCTGATCACTGTATATAAATACTTCGAGTGAGGCAGTGAGGAGGATGGGGCAGGTCTCATTTCAGTGGTGGCCAGCAATAGCACAAGAGGAGATGGCCACAGATTGAAGCATCAAAAGTTCCACAGGAACTTAAGGAAAAATTTCTTACCAGTGAGAGTGACGGAGCACTGGAACAGGCTGCCCAGAACCTTAATGATGCTATGAAATGATGCTATGAAATTTGCCAAATACTGTTGTACCATAACTTCATTACTTCATTTCTGTTTATTTATTTCTTTTTTTTTTTTTTTTTTCTAAAGGTACAAATAGCAATAGAGGGGCTTCTTTCAGTAGGGTGTGAAACTGAGGCATCTTCTGCTAAAATTCTTTTCCAGAATGGCTTTGAGAAAGGTAATGTTTTTCTTTGTCAAGAAGTATTTAGTGTGATCTTTGATTCTTTTATGTACAATTTAAAGACTTTACACACATTTTTTCCTTGGATGTTCATTTTTATTTTCTAATGGAAGACCTTATGTTACTTATTAAAAACATGATTAATATCTTATCTCTTCCTGTAATATATTACACAACTCGTCATGTATTACAGCACACTTATCAGAGTACGTGATATGTTCTTGTGGTTAGGAACATTACAGATAGATACAAAGAATGCAAGTTCCAGGGCATATGAAATTATTCATGTTTCAGTATCTCTACTGGGGAAGCAAATCTGATAGAGCCCATAGCTATAGCTCAAGTTGATTCCAACCCTAGGGATCTTTGGTTTCAGTCTTCCTTGCTGACTGCTGTATTCATCAGTGTGTCCAGTGCAAATATCTGGTGAATATTTGACTGGTCAGGTGAAGTATAAAATATTAGCCTTTGTAAAAATCATCGATAATTTGCTATCATGTGGAGGAAAGCAACAAGTTAATTAACTAGGAGAGATGAAAATCTTAGATATAAAAATGGAGAAAGAAACTGGACATTATTAGTGTAGTTATGTGATCATAAAGCTATAATTCTGCCAACAAAAAAGAGAATAACTTTAGCTGACGGCTGGTGATAGTTCAGCAGTAAAGTGAGAATAAGAAATGATATGTAGCAAGTAGAACAAAGGGAAAGACTTGATTTTTTTCTTTTACATTCTTTCTACAATATAAAAAATATTTTAAAGGGGCATAGCAAGAAAAAAAGGTTGTGAATAGATTCCAGTGTAGCACAAACAACCACACGTGTTCAGACCTAAGATTCGTCAATCATAAAGTCCTGTTTTCAGCAGAAACCAAAAGAGATGCCTAGAAAAGAATAAAAACTAAGTGAATGTGTATCTTGGTTCTCTCCAAATCCAATTTTTTTATCCCAATTAATTTCTTGAGCCTGATATATTTTGTTAATTTAACAACCTTCAGTGGTGCTGCCTTCCAAGTACTTGGATAGCTTCCCCTTGAATATAGATAAACTTACTACATAATAATAATACATAATATAGATAAACTTACTACATAATATCTTCAGGTAAGATTTTAACAGGAACTTCTATCTGATATGCCAGATAGATAGTAACAGATGGATATCTGTTTCTTTTATTTGAGGAAAATGTGAATGGCCAGTATCTACTGAGGGAAGAAAATCTCTTATGTACTAGGAGCAAAAGAAATATGAGCAATTTTTGTCAGTGTGGTTGATAACCCTGTGCAAAATGATCCCAGAGGAGAAGGGGATTCTTTTATCTGTGTATTTTCTGTAGGGGAAAGGGTGTATTTAGTCAAACACTTTGGCTCTAGACAATATTTGATATAGAGTTATATGGTCAAAATCAGAATCTAGCTTTTCAGTAAAGCTGAAAAGAAAGTAAAGAAATAAAGGCTCTTGCCTTTCAGTATCCTTTACCTAGGATATGTGCCAAGGTAATTGTCTCCTGCCATGTGGCAGTTCAAAATTTATCTGGTCAAGAGAATCTGTAAGAATAGAACTATGTTTTAAATTATTTTGGATATCCATTTCCTCTATTTTCATTTATTTTATTTTTTACATCTCTGCTAGGTAAAAAGGACTCCGTCACCACGGGACGCATTGTCAGTGGGATGGAGCCCTTCTGTGGGAGGTTCAGTGTTCACAGACCAGAACAGCTGGTGAAAACTTCACCTTCAACTTTACCAAGATATGATCTCACTGAATACACACATGTAAGTGTCTATTCTTGCTCAGCTTGTTGTGTTGGGGAGTGGATGCTTATAGCCAAATTAGCCCCATAAAATTATCCAGTCTGTTTAACTTTTCCTCAAACTCAAAGGATCATGTTTCAGAGCTGTGGTTGTTGGTCATGGCCAAAGCAGAATGTGTTTCAATGCAAAGACTTATGTGATTGGGTAGATAGTTTGGGATTCCAGAGAAATGGATATTCAGTTATCTGAGCACCAGAGCTCCATCTCCACTGGGCACATTGAAGGGCTTCTGGGCTTCATGGAGTTAGCTGTGATGCTGACCTTAAACAAGATCCATCTCTACAAATGTAAGACGGAATTGAATCACCATGTAATCTCTTCTGCAAACATTATACATATATTATCTTTTTTAATCTTTTTTTCCTACTTCATTTACAGATATGTTTTGCACATAAAGGACATATGAGCAAAATCCTTCATATATCAGTATCCTACACTAATGCCACTCTCCATTCAGTGAAGAGGAACCTCACCTGCCAATGGGATTTTAATGACAGCCACCTAGAAAGGTGCTTTACAGTGATGACATTTTCCATAGTAATTATTATATTAGGATATTAGTATGTTAGGAAAAATAAGCATAGCAAGTTCTTATTTGAACAATTTAAGGCACTAATTTGCTGTTTTCTTTGGCAATACTCTGAATTTTTGCAGTGAAACTGAAAGGTCTATTGCAGTTTGCCGTCAGGAAGCTTATGGGACCACTGGTAAATAGTGGTTTTGGAAGTTGCTACACTCTTTGTTTCGTTTAAAATCAATAGGTGAGAGAACTTTTCTGACAAGATGGGAAATTAGGGGCAGGCAAACTGGAAGAATCAACAATCTCTGAAGAACTTCTGGAATCTGGGAGGATTTTGTTTGCTTTATTTATTTATTTCACTCTATGTGAGTAGGTGGATGGGTAGATTACTTAAATAACATTTTCATAAGAATTTGACTTCTGAGTTTGAATTTGATGGCTAAACATAACATGATTAAGAGATGTGCCTGCTCAGATTTGTAGTCCAGATTCATGTTTGTGTGTTACATGATGGAGAACTGATGACTTGAGCAGTGTCTGGTATTCCTAAGGGGCTTGAACTCTGGATTGAATGGTGAGTTAGACCATTTTATATGTGGACATGTGTAGTTTAAAGCACTCTCAGGAGTTCAGGACTTGGATAAGCTGCCGTGTGTAGGTATCTGCTGTGCTGTCAAGGTCACGGACATTATGCAAGTGTTTTTGCCAAAAGCGGAGTAGTGGTAGGCATTGCCACATGCTGAATTTCTTGACACAGAGGAGAATATCTAAACAGATGTAAAGACTTCATTCTCTTTGTGCATCACCTAAGAGAAGTTTGTAGAAGGTGAGTAGAGAGTTTGTAGAGCACAGTGTGCTGTGTATGAGCGTAGCAAGAGTACATGAAGGTTTAACAAAAGGTTTAACAAAATACCTTCTTGGTCAGTTGCTTCAACTGTTTTACCATAGAGGAGAGAGGATGTAACCCTTGGTGGTACCTTTCAGCTGGACGTTTACCTGCACCAACCTCTGGAAGGGATGTGTGAACCGTTCCATGCTCCTCCAGGACCTCCCTGCCAATTCCCCTGTGTTTGTGCATCAGATTGATTTGCCATTCTCTGAGATGCAAAGAGAGCTCTCCGAGTCCTTTTACCTCGATGAACTCATCATCACAGACAGCAACGTGACAGGTAAAGGATTTTTTTTTCTGTTGATATTGCTTTCGCTTCAAGACCTTTCATGAAAAACTAAACTGTTTTACTGGTTTCATTTTTATCAGAGAGGAAGGGCTCTTCACAGTAGACACTAAAACTTTTCTTCTTCTTTTCTTGAGCTTTTTTGTTTTTGGGGAGTAACCAAGGAAATATTACCAAATATGAATGTACTTGGCCTGTTTGAAACTGTGTGTCAGTAAATAAATCTATGTAATAATGATCTTGTCCAAACAGAAACCAAAAATGGGTACATTTCCAGCATATGAAGGGAAAATAGCCTAGTTTTGATGATATCTCTTCTCCTACTTGTAATGAATGTCATCTTTTGCTTTCAGTTTCTCAGAGGAGTCCCAAACCACCTTGGCCAGATGGGAGGATAATTGAAGCAGTAACAGTGGTGGGGTCATCTCCCACCTACAATGTGTCCCTGCTGGTGGCTGGTTGTGGTGCCAATCTGCCTCTGCTTTCACTAAGGTATGGACAATAAGTAGGTCATCTCACACCCTGCATTACCTCTTGTAGTTACTTCTGATTTGTGGATTTGGCTGTCATTTGAGACGGGACATGAGAGGCAGTGGAGCATAAGTCTGCTTTAGGATAGGAATTGCCTTGGAGTCTTCTCCTTTGGCTGTAACAATGGTCTATGTTCAGGCTAAGTTTAGACTGAGGCTAAGTTTTAGTAGTTTTAAGACTCAGGCTAACTTTTAGTAGGTGGTATTCAACTCAAAACTACTTGATCTCAGTTTTAGTGTGTTTGGGGGTTTTGTTGACCAGGCAGGAGCTTGAATATACATTTAGACATCTCTCCTGTTTCAAAGCAATAACAAAAAAAAAAGGAATGTACAGCTTGGGATTCACTGTATCACATCAAAACACACTGGTTGACAGAAGGGTTCTGAAGACAGATTTTGTTTTTTTAACTTTCAGAAGTTGTTAAGATCTGAAGGAAATTTTCATAGCAGTAAAACATTTGCACCTGCCAGTGGCTTAAGTTAATTTGCTGATTGCTCACTGCAGATCAGAGAAACACAGCTCAAGTCAGCATCAACAAGACTTACCATGGCCCAGAATACCACAGTATTCCTACCATGGTGACCATTCAGCAGCCATTTAGATCTGGGTCCTGCAAAACCCAAGTTTGAGCAGTCTTTTGGTGAAACAGTTAAGCAGATCTGAACCATGGTTCAGACCTAGCTGTTCTACAGAAGGTAATTTATAGGATTAACATAGCATAGAAGGAAATGACTGGTAAGGTCTCTCTGCTGGGAATACACTGCATTGCCTGTTGTCAAGTTTAGTATTTCAGCACAAGTAACCAACGACAAAAGCAAGGATGAGAAGATGAGGGAGTGTTTGCAAAGTTTGCGTATAAACTGTGATATAATCAGTAGAAAAAAAATTATTGATTTTAGTATTAAGACTGACAATAATAGGTTTTTGCATTAAGCACACTTCTAAAGGAGTTTCAGAAAAACAGCTACGAGTATTACTGTGGAGTGAAAGAAAATACCTTGGAGATAAATATTTAAGAAGCTCAATATGTTTAGTTTATCAAAAAGAGGATTTAGGGGTGGATTAGTAGTAATAGTACCTCTCACCAAGAAAAAACATGGCTGGCATTTGAGGGCTTTTCTTTTTTTTGCAGAGAGATGAGCAAAAATCCATGTATGATGCTGACTGAAATAAGCCAGACTGAAATAAGAAATTAATGTATGCTTTAAAAATGATCAGGTTGTTTGCTGTTCTTGAATATTTTGAAAATAAGACCTTTTTTTTCTCTCTCTCTTAACTGACCTTATGCTATGCTTTGGTCTAATATAACTTGTTGGGATCAGAGTCAGGGCTGCTGGATAAAATCAGCTGCATGTTGGACTAGAAAATCTAGAAAACCTTTTGGTTTTCTATTCTCTAAATTTCATTGTCAGAGATGAGCTAGTTGGAGACTTTAGCTGTTATGCAGACGCATAACCACATGGTGGCATCATTGTATTGCAGAGAGACTTTCTATGTCTTAGAAACCGGACTTGTGAACCAGGATGCACGGTGTTGGTCTCCGTTCCTTGATATAATTCAGCAGTGTTCATTTGATAATCATGAGAGTATGGAATGAAATATAAGTGAAGGTTATATGTACATAAAGGTAGGGAGCTTCTTGCCCTCCTTTGTCTGCTACTGCTTTGGTTGCATGGAGGTTCGTCTTAAAAGAGCCTATCTTGAAGCAGTACTCATTTGGACTTAGCATGCCATTAATTATTCACTCCATTTAAAAGGTGTATTTTTCCATTATTTCCTCTTGTGTATAATGTTGGCATCATGGGAAAACATGAGAGGAGTAACCAAGTATGCCAGGGCTGCAAATATATTCTTGTTAGGTCCTTCAAGAATCTTGCCCTCATGTTCCTATGAGGGTAAGAGCAAAGGTTCATATGGCAGATGCCTTGGAGAAACATAGCTCCAGAGTTAAGAAACCCTGCTGCTCTTCAAGGATCTTTAGAACAAGGAGACACTCTCACTACAACTTGGTTTAAGTTGGAAAATGATGTTTAGGGAACTGCAGCAAGGGTCTGGTGAACATGATTGGATCCTCCAGAATCTGTGAGTTCAAGATTCCAAGTTCAGATTTATTTTGTTTGTTTTCGTTTGCTGGTCAAACAAGGGTGTCACCAGTGGCATTCCAGACTGCTAATGCCTTCATATGAACCCTCTGTCATGCAGAGATGCTTTGTTTCTGAATGGCTCTGAGGAAGATGGACACCTCTCTGTCTCCTCGGAGGATGCAAGAATCAACCTTGCTGTTCAGAGACTGCAGAAGTCATCTCCACCTCTTGGAGGGACCTTCCGCATCAACCTGGGCAATACAGTGATATCAGGTAAGAGACAAGCTGAGTAGAGGTCCAGCATTTAATTTGTAGGAAACCAAGTGAAGAAGAGAGAAGAATGAGCATTTAAAATGCTCAAGAAATGGACTGGCAGATTAAGGCCATTTAGATGTTTGCTAGAGTTTTGCATGTGCTGCAAAATAGGAGTTAAAGGAGTCAAATAGGAGTTTAAGGTTTGTAGGGAAGGCAATATTTCTAGAATTTAATTAAGAATTTTCTCCAAAATACATTTAACCCTTCTGGAAAACTTGTCTTAATATTAAAGGATTTTGATTCAGAGCCTGAGCTGGAATTTTGCAACCTAAGATTTCATTACATAGAGGTTTCTCTAGAACATGTACTTCTTGTCCTCTTATATGACAATACTAGTGGCGTTCTAAGATATGAACAGCGTTTCCCTTAGCAGAACCTTTTCCAAAATGGCAATTAGCATCACTCCTCTTAGGTTTCCCTCTGTATGTCATAACACTAGCCTGCAAGTGAGACTCATGCAATTTACTAGAGATTTATTTTACTTGCAGTATTACTGGAATTTTGGGAGTTTGGGAGGTTGCAGGCACCACAAAATCTTTTGTGCATAGAGTTGATTTGACTTGATTCCTGACTGCAGAACTGGTGCCTGGTAGTTAAAAACTAAAGTTATAAAACAACAAGCAAGTGTAGAATGTTCATGAAAGACAAGATGGAGAGTCATTTAAAACTTCTGAAGCATCTCATTATAGCCAAAGGTGAATTCAACAGGTCCCTCCCTTTTGAAAAGGCACACTTTTCTAAAAAAAGAAAAAAGACACTCTTTTCTAAAGTGTTCTCCATTCCTCTTAACCTGTTACTTTTCCCATTCCCTTCTTTCTTCTTCATAATTTCAGGGAGACTTATTGCATTTGCAGGTTTGAGTGGCTATGGGCCTTTTTTGTCAAAGGAAATAAGATGCCATTGTGTATATTTGAGACTGGAGTCTACAAATTCTTCTTGATAGACTGTTTGCCTCCCAAAGCATATGCTTGACTTGCGTAGAAAATTTATGTCTTTTCTTTTTTAATACAGTGTGATTGCACAGTGAAATTTCATGCCTTCCAAAGATATATATTGAACGTTACAAGAAATATTAATAAGACAACAAATCTGATGGTTCCATCTAGAGATATATTTCTATTTTTTTCTTCACTATTAGAAAGTGCAGAAGATATTTTGATATTTGGGGGTTCCCTGCTGCTTTTTTTTTCTCCTTCCAGTTAGGATGTGATGGTTTAGATCTCTACAACTAATAATGAAACATCTTTCTTTTCTAGGAGCAGGCAAAGGTATTCTCATAGGTACTCTCAAGGTACTCTTATGCTTTCTAATTTTGCTTTCTAATGTCTTTTGCAGGTATCCCTGTGCACATTTCTTCCAATCATCTCCACAGGCTTTTGCAAGACAACACAGATAATTCTACAGCCCCGTACTTCAACATCAGTGATTTTACAGTGATCAAAGACTCAAATTCTTGTTATGAGAATATCTGGACTCTGACTTGGAAAACAAAAACAGGAGACTTGCCCAATTTTATTAATGTACGGTAATCTTTTTTTTACAAAGGCATTCTGAATCCCTTTCAGTGTCAATGGTTTTGCCAGTGTTTGTTTTCACACGGACAATGCCAAGACCTCAATCAATGTGTCCTCCTATTAAGGTCAGCAACTTAGATTCCAGACTAGTTGATTAAAAAACCAATTTGAGTTACAGACAGTACATTGGATATAACTTGTGCTTCAAAATAAGGAGGCAAGGATGTAATTTCTGCACTTCTTTTGTAGTTCTTGGAATAGGGTTGTACGGCCCGTGGGGGGCACAGCTTAATTTACAATCACAGTGCAGACAGAGGTGAAAAACACTATTTTTTTTTTCTTCTTTCTGCTCTCTAGGTCTCTGATGAAAACCTCACAGGTCTGAACCCAACTGTCACTAGTCGTGTGGTTTATGATGGGGGTGTGTTTATTGGGCCAATATTTGGAGATATGCTTGTTACTGCCAATAACAACACACAGGTGAGCTAATGTGCTGACACACTTCTGGTTGGTTCACCTAGGTCTACAGATTCAGGAGTCTATGAGGTGCGGAGGAATCTTGTTCTGATCCTATTCTAAATCCTTTAAAAAAACTTCTGTTCTGTGCTTTATCATTAATTGATCAGATTATTCTTCCTGATTTGTGGAGCAGAGCTTTACTACAAGAGCTGTTCCAAGGGTGGAGAATGATCATTTTGGGTGAAAGAAATCACTTATTGTGGAGGCCCACCAAAACTTATTCCTTTTGAGGCAGTGGCCAGGAATTAACATCTGGACTCTCACTTTTATTGGGTCCTAAATGTGAGGATGACCCTCTGTAGGTTCCAGCTGTTATGCTTCTAACAAAATGAGTAAGTTTATAGTTATGGGGCTATTTTGGAAAAGTCACTGACCATCCATTTACCTAATCTTTCACTTGGGAAAAAGGATCCAGGGGCTTCCCAGATAAATGACTAATGGGAAGACAAATGGCTTGCAAACTCCACTCTTGGAGGTTGCAAGAGTGGTGTTAGAAGCCCATCTGTGCAGCAGTGGGGGCTATTTCAACCTACTTTTTGACTGGCTCTGTAGCCCACATATTGGTCCTGCCCTGCTTCCTGTACCCAAGGCACCTGTGGTACCTCTGCAGCCTGTAGTAGAGACATGAGCTCAGATCAGAAGAAATAAGGACAGCAGCTGCAATTAGATTTCATTTTTGAAACTCTATTCTGGCTTGCTGCAAGCAGCAAATATAAAAATGTCCCTCTAACCATTGTGTCTCTATTAAGCAGAGCACTGTGAAACTCTGAGGGCCCCTTGGGTTTCCCAGAGACAATCTGCTTTTATTTGATGCTCTGGTGCAGTCCCCTAGCACACCCCTCCTTCATACCTGGGGAACAGAAGAGTCTTCTGCAGTACCAGTTAACACTTCTGAGAGGGGAGTTGATGTTAGACCTCAAGGTCTAGGAAAGCTCAGCTTTCCTGGTTAGCACAAACAATGAAAAAAGATGTTGAATGGATGCAATATGAGATTCATTCTGGCTAGAGTCTTGCAGGGTGCTTTAAAGCATGAGGAAGTCAGGGAGAAAATTTGTAATCAGACTATGGCAGGATAAATTACTGTCTTTGCTGAAGCAGTGTAGCTACTTTAATCACTGCAATCTGCCATGTATCATAAGAACTAGAAACCACCTCAGTTCCCATCCCTGCTCTGAGGTAACCTTCTTCTCCAACTCCAGGTGGTGGTGGTGGTGAATGATGTCCTCACAAACTGTTCTGGCTCATGCTCTTTCCAGTTCAGCCACGAAATGACACCCTTAGTCAGTGAAGTGGAGTACTTGTCAGGTAATGGGATTTATAAGTGAATAAAATGGTAAAACACGCTACTAAAATTGGTTCCATGATGATGATCTTATATATAGGAGTGTGTGTGTGTATTCTTCGGGAAGCTTTTGATTTTTATGGAGACTGCATTTTCTAATGAACCACTTCTGTTTAACTTGGGTCTTAAACTATGCAGAACAAACTGGTATTATGGAGGAATAACAATATGGAGGAATAATCTCTCCCATAAATGAGAGAAATAGTACAGCTTGATGCTGTACAAAACACGGTGACTCTTGGGTCCAGGTACTTTTTAATTAAAAAATAAGAAAATTATAGATGGTCAGAGGCAGGAACATGAGTGATAATGAGTGACTCAGTGTTGTGGTTTACATAGCCTCCTGATAAGGATAGCAGTAACTTTAGCTGTTGGTTGAAAGGATCAGCAGTCTGGGCATTCTTATTCCAAAATTTGTTTGTCATCTTGTTGTTTCTCTTCCCTCAGATGATGGGTCCCAGGCTACAATGGTTATCAGGGGAGCTGGCTTCACTGAGGAAAAACAAGCTGTCCAAGTAGAGGTGAACAACTCCACCTGCCACGTCATAACATTGAATGAAACTGAATTGGTTTGCCAAATGGAGAGGCTGCCAGTTGGAGTCTACCAGGTGATGTTACTGGTGAGACCTTATGGCTTTGCACTCAACACCAGTACAGGAGAAGGCATCTTTCTAAGAGTTGAGCCCAAGTTGGTGGCTATTGAACCTCCTACAGCTTCAGAGATAGGTAGGTCTGAATTCCAGTCTGACTCTAAGTGGATGTCTTTTTTCTTGGTCTTGTTTTTCATAGCATGGTTCAATTCTACTGTCTTTTTGCTACTGAGTCTTCATCTGAGAAAAGGTATCTTGCCACTTTGTATCCCAAAGGTACTGACTCAAGCTCCTAACAGACTGACATGGTCAGAGTGTTAACACTGAAGACAGTTGTTCAGTTTTTACGAGAAACCTCCTAATTTCAACAGTAAGGTGTTCTGAGTCCATGCTAACAAGCATTACTGAGAGTAGGAGTATTTGCCTTGGTGCAGGCTTGTAGAGCTGAACTGGTTCATGTTGGGTCAGCTTGGAGTGGACAGAGGAAAAAAATGATGGTCTATGAATGGATTGATGAGTCCCAGGATGTAGCTGGAAGTATCTGTGGGGTTTTAAAGTGGAAACAAGAAGTCACCTCTTTTCTTTGCAGGTTGTTGGGATTTATAATAGAAAACTTTTCTTTTTGTTTTTCTATTGAGAGAAAAACAAAGGTAAGTGAGGTTGAGAGTGACTGCTCTAATTAAAAAAAAAAAAAAAAAAAAAAAAAACCACCAAACCCTAAAACTAAAAGAAAAGACAAATTTTAGTGTTTGGATGTTGCTTCTTATTTCCTTCTTTGACAATCCAGCTTTTATGTCAATTACAGTGATCTGTCACTCTTTAAAGAGAGAGCAAGTATAATGCTATCTTATGTTACATATGCCTTGAACAATTATAATTGGAAAGAATTACAACTTCCATCTGTCTTTTTAATTTCTTCCATTTAAAATACCTCTCTTCAATCTTATCGTAAAGCGTGCATATGCAGTATTTTATCACATGTAGTAGAGTGTAGATATCAAAACTTTAAGATCATTAGTCTTTACGCAACACACATGGATTTTGTACTCTAAATCTGAGACTTATCAAACGACTATGACAGAAGCCTCTCTAGTTCTACATTTTGCTGTTTCTGTCTCTGAAAGCTCTTAAGTCCTTCATAGCATCAGGTCTCTCTGGTCAAAATATCACTGGTCTTAGTGGTGTACATCAGGAGTTCTCATGACATAGCTTCCTGCAATCCCAAAGTTCTTCATAAAGGTTCTTTCTGCCTAGCAGATGAAAGGAGATTTCTGTGATTTCTGTGTTTTAGAAATGAGTTTTTGGATATAGAGAATAAGCAGTCAAAGAGGTCTTAAGAAAAAATACAAGGAATTCTACCATCAGTGTATAATGAGTTCCTGTTTTCTTCCTTGGATCATTGCTGGCATGACTAGTTTATACCCTGCTTGTTTACTTTATCATTGTTTTCATTTTTTTTATTCATGAGAATACCTAAAAACTATGCATTGTCCCTTGTGCTGAGCACAATACAGACACTCTCTAGAAGAAATTAGAGAAAAGATTGAAAAATTGTTTTGCAGACAAGTGATTTGCACCCAGAGAGGTTATTTTGCATTGCAAATGATTTAATTGATTGCTAAATTGACTTTACCCATACCTCTGAATCTGCCACCGGAATTCTGGGTGCTGCAAATCCCTTCTTTGATACTGCATCCTCCCTGATCTGTATACTTTTGATGTCAGGACTATTGCCATAAATGCACTGTAGATACATAGAGGTGACAGGACCAAGCACGTTGTCCTTGAACCTAGGCATATTGCAGTGACTGCCTGTTTTAATGTATTTATGGCTAATGATTTAAACTCAACTCTAAATGCTCCCCTGGGAATGTGAAACAAAGTCCCAGCTTCTTGAATCCTGGACATTTTACCCCAAAAGGAGCACCTCTGCTTTTAAATCGTTTTAAATTCTACATGTGCAAAGAGTGAAAAAGCTCAGTTGTGCTGTTATGTAACAGCGATAGCACATGCATACTGTGGTAATAAAATCCCTGCTTAAGCAGCCTGTCTGTCCAACAGCGGTCCTAAAGCCTGGCAGCACTGTGCTGCTCTAGCTTCAGCCTTTTGACTACAGCAGAGAGATGTAGGTTTTAAGGGAGTGGGTTTGTGTTTTTTTGATATTTATCAATTTGTCTCTAAGTCGTATCAAAGAGCAAAGCCTAGAATTTCTGCTAATGCTATTTTTTTTTCTCTTTTATATTTCTCTTTGACATACCACTGGATCCTTCAGTCATTCGCAAAAAGCTGAGGGGTTATATCTGGACTATTCAGACAGGAATTGTGTGCTGCAGAAAGTCCAAACACGTGGTCAGTCTTGACTGGTGCTGAGCTTGATCCTGAACAGGATCACACACACTGAGCTCTGGCTGGTGCAAATAAGAGCTGGGGTTTCTCAGAGCTTCAGAGTCCAGCCCTCTGTGACTTTCTTCCTCACAAATCCGTGAAGTCTCCAGCCCTGCCAAGTCCCCTTTCTAACCTAAGCTTCCTGGACACATGCTACAGGGCTTTTTGACAGCAGGGTGCGTGGCAGCTATTTGAACTGTGAAAGCACCTGCTGTGTTAAGCTCATTTTCCATTCTTGGCGCTGCTTCTTCTTTCCTTATTTTATTCACGGGTTGGAGATCTTTCTAAGGGTGAGATCACAGACCAGACCTTGCAATCTTAAATAAGTATGTCATTAAAAAATAAACTCAAACCCAAATACTAGTGTCCTGTGTGACAGACAAGAATACAAATAATGAAAAGTATCTCTGGAGAAATGGAGTAATCTGGAGCACAGCAAAGTGGAAGCAGATCATTGTTGATGCTTATAAACTAACGTAATCTTAGTATGCCTGTGTTTTAACCAGTAGATGGTATGACTTTTTTGTAATCATCCATTTAAAAAGCATAAAGGATGCTCTGTGTATTCAAATATCTTTCCACATCTTGATTGTAAAGGAATAAATGCTTTTGTAGGAGGGCTGAGAGTGACTCTCAGAGGGACTGGTCTGGAAGGAATAAACCTGGTGCTGTTCGGATCTCAACCTTGCCCAGTTTCTGAGAGTGCCAGAAATTCAATGAGAATAGAATGCCAAATTCCCTCTCGGGTAAGAAACCACATATTTTTGGGTGCAATTAGCTGTGTGATGGGAGCCTACAGACCTTTATGTTGTGCTATCCTGAACTATGCTGAGGGGGAAAAATAGTTGTCCATGAGCTAAATCTTGGCTTTGGTTTTGGTTGGACTCCACCTACAACTTAGACTAGCCTAATTAGCAATGTGAATTGTGAAGCCTAGTGTAACTGCAAGAATCAAATTACATGATGAGATTAGCCTCTAATAAACCAAACCCGGGCCTTTAACTTCAGGAAAAGTTGTACTTTTGGCTCAAAGACTGCCACTATATGCCTGGTCAAATTGTTCTTATTTGTGTTACCAAAACCTCTTCAGTTCTAAATCTTCCTGTTTACATCCAGTCCTTCTACTGGGGATTATCTGCGTCTCAGCCAAACTCTTGAACCATGCCTAGGAATTGCTACTGGTATTAATTAACACAGATCAAAGTTATACCCAGGATGATGCATAATTTAAGAGCAGACACAACTGTTTATGCCTGTTTCCTACTACTGTTTAATCTATTAATAGGCAAATGGCAAAGGAGAATCTCTACGTAGTCTGAGATTGTTTTCAAGTTTATAACTCTTCACAGATGTCCCTTAGATTATAAATGTCTATACTCATTTGAGTAGAGTCCCATGTTTGTATGCACAATTGGTCAGTGTCATGTAATACCCTGTCCTTTTTCTCTAATGAAACCAACAAAAAATACTCCAGATAGAATTTTTTTTTTTTAATTGCCTGACATATTAGCTATAGAGACATACATATATAAGAAACAATTTAATTTTTATTGCTGCAGTCTTATCCCTGACACTTTCTTCACTTTTTTTTTCCAGGGGATAGAGGACGCTGTTGTTCCCGTGACACTAATTTCTGAGCACTTTTCAACAACGGTCACCAATGTATTCCAGTATGATCCTTCCTTAAATCCCGTGGTCGTATCACTGAGCAGAAACAGAAGTGGCATAGCAGGTGAAGAGGCTGCCTTTTCCCATTCCCAATGGGACAATTGCCAAATGTCCCATTTGCAGGACAGCAAATGGATGCTATTAGACATCATCTGGACAAATGCTATTGTTACTGCTGAGAATGGTGGGCCAGAAAGACTTGAGTCTGTGGGATCTTCTAGTGCTTTAGAGATTTTTTTAAAGCTATAACCTCCTTGTCAGCCCAGTTTGCTTTAATTTTATTTTAATTTTCTCTAGCTTACATGAGTTGATGAGATGTTGACCCCATTCCTGTGTGGATAGATAAATGAAGTTAGGATGCTGCTTCTCTGTCTCCTGTTTTTCTAGCTCTGCTCTGAAGATTCCTCTATTACACCCATTTTAGTTGGATATTAACTTTTGAGAGTGTAATTCCACAGCATCCTAAAAGATGGGCCAAAATTGGAGTGCAATAAGTGCATTTTGGGCAGCTGAAGGCAGAAAACAGGGAGCAGTTTCTATACATTTAATTTGTTATTCTTTTCTTTCTCAATAGCCATCTCACTGAAAATGCCTGTATATGGGCTCATGCATAACACTAATTTTTTAAAGCTATTTCAGGAGGAATTTAGGATATGGGATTCCATTCCCTGTTGCCCTTATCCTTTTCTATTACTCCAGGATGCACAAATAGGAGAAAATAATATTTATCTGAATATCACTCATAGAACTTCAATGAGAAATAGATGACTACATGCTTTCAGGACAAAATGTATTTTGAAGGTCATGGTCATATGACCTTAGGGGCCTCAGGAAACTTTCATACCAGCCATGGAGGTTCATGTTAAGTTTAGATACCTGCTCAGTTAGGCTGTGCTGGAACATCTGCATCATTGCCAGGGAATAAGAAGAATTCCGGAATGCGTTTTTAGCTTTAGAAAGACTGGATTCAGCTTTAATTAGGTGTGGATATGTAAAGGCTAGACATCTATATTCAGGAGATGTTGATTCAATCCTGAGCATCTATTGGTAGTCTGTGAGCAACTTTATGTGGTTATAGTCAAGTTCCCAGCTTTAACGTCTATTAAAGAAAATAAATAAATAAAATAAAGGTGTTTTTACACTTTATTGGTGAAGCTGAAGGGCAAAAAGAGCACGGAACCATGGTGCTTGTCTATTTTATTTTTATTTATTTATTTGTTTTTTTTTTCTGGCTAATATGACTGGATTAGTTCTTCGGTTCCACAATCTTTCTTGGGGAATTTTCACAGGCATTATATTAGCTCTTGCTGGAAACGCTGAAGTTGCTCCATTCATTCTTCTCTCTGCAGGGGGTCAGAAACTCCAGATTGGAATTTCCTCATTTGCCATCTACCAAGGGTTGGATATCAAAGTCCAAGTGGGGCATTTATGGGGACAGATTCTGTCACAGTCGGACCATGGTGTTAATGTGACACTTCCAGCCTTGGCTCCAGGATGGTACAACATTTCTGTCATCATCAATGGTGTTCTTGTTGCTACTTCAAATAGGTGTGTATTTCCATTAATATACAAATTTCATTCTCAGTCCTATTTTCTATTGTAGGATTAATCTGAAAAGAAAGGTAAAGTTTTCAAAGGTGCTGCACCTAACGGTGAAATTTGCAGTATGTTATGAAATTATGAATAATTATTAAAGCACTTATTGATCTGTGGAGCCTAAGTCAGCAAATTGCTAATGCTGTTCAATTAACTCCCCTTGGATCAGTAGGCGGCAGGAGAGGAACATTTTGTAAAAAATAGTTGATTAATGCATATTCAGGCAATTAAAGCTTCTCACAAATTCAGGTCAAATGCAGATAAATCCTGCTATAGGAAAACAAAAGAAGAAAAGAAACACTTTTCATGAGGAAAAAAGTTTGAAAAAAAAAGGCTTTGTTTTGAAAAATTTTTGAATAATGCTATTTCCCTCTTTTTCACATGACATTTCATGTCTAGATAAATGTAACACAAATCAACTAATATGCAGGAGAAAACACATTTCAAAGCGGGACACAACAGTTCATTCCCAAGCAACATAATTTTGCTACTCAGCCACACAGAGAAGGGATCTGCTTGTGTTGCCCACAAAAAACCCTAAACAGCTTCTTGCATTAATTATTGTCATGAGGAAAAAGCCTGTGGTCAGTGAGACGATGCACATGGATTCATCCCATCTGATGCTGCAGTCTGTTAGTGTCACTGATGCTGCATCCTGCTATCCTGTGTAGAAGACAACTGCTCTAGTTGACTGAATTGCATAATCAGGAAATACTGTTTCTCTGTTATATCTGCTTAATTTGGTTTGGTTTTGTTTTTTGTCAAGTTCAGTTTTTTTTTTTGTTGTTTTTTTGAAGAGGTCATACCTAGAATTCCTCTTGCGTTATGCGAGTGCATCTATGCCTGCTGTTTACATATATTCCATGACAGGAAAAAAGAGGGAAAGGATGTCTTTTATATCTTACAAATAAATATGCTGCTGTAGTGTCTGTTTTGTGGCAACCCCCTAAATCTGGCTTTTCAATTAGCTTTTCAATTGTGCCTTATGGCATGGATTGGGACCATAGACTGACACTTGGTAGGACATTGGTGGCCCTAAAAGTTATGACTTTAATCATATGGAAGGAGTTTAAGGCATGAGATTGTGACATTGTGGTATTATGGGGGCAAAACCAAGTGAGCAAAAACCCAAAACTTCTTATTTTGCTTTTGCAGGATTCAGCCGTTGATCCAGTATGTCTCAGAGATCTTCAGCATTGAGCCGTGCTGTGGCTCTTTACTGGGTAAATAACACCAGTACATCTGCAGCCACTTATGGAGGTTAAAGGGATCAAGGATACGGCTTCCCTGCAGGACTGGATGGAGCATCCTGTTTTACGTTGTTTTAAACAAGGGTGTTTTAAAAAATCTGTGACCTTTTACTGTGCAGACTCCCACTGGCAGGCAGCAGCAGCCTGGAAATGTGGGATTGCAGTGAGCATCCCTCAATCTTGTCTAGCTTGGGGGCCCCTGTGCTTTGCGTGTGATTTTTCCAAATGCTTTCTCCTCTATCCTTGCATGTTCCCACTAGGGGAGAACACTCACCCACACCTGACTCATCTGTGCAGTATTTATCACTTATTTCGCCTCCATCTCTAAAGGCTTTCTGTATCAAAGCTAGGAGAAGAGTAGGGTATGGACAGAGTTTGAGGCAAACATTCATTCCAGGTAATCCCAAAGGGAGCATTTACTGACGTCAAAAGACAAAAATCTTTCTCAGTGTTAATTTGAATCCAAATTGAAATATTTACTAACCTATTTTCCGAGCTTTTTTTTTTTTTTTAAAAAAAAAAAACATTTGAAACCATTCAATTGTGTTCAAGCGAAACATCACTGAATTAAAACAAAACAAAAACTCTTTCCTTTCAAAACTTTAAAATACAGATGGCGGTTCCTGTATTTGTCATCTTGTAGCATACCATTTGGCTGGGAGTGGAGAAGAGTCGAATTCATTTAGGGAATTTTACATGAATCCTGTGAAAGTTTTACATAGAGGGGAGAGAAATTCTTGTGATATAATCTCAGGTCCTGCACAGTTTCCTCTCCCAGGCTCATGGCACTTTTAAAGATACAAAAATTCAGAGGCTTTGTGATACATGATTAGTTCTGTAGTTTGTAAAGTACCCAAGCTTTGAAAGATGAGAACTTGGAGCTTAAAGAGCAAAGGCTATCAAGTTTGAAGATTAAGCTATATAAAGAAAAATGCTATATGGTTCTTTTATCTTTAGGGGTCAATTGAAGGTTAAATAACAACTGATTAACTCATTGGCTGTAGTTTTATGAATGGCTTAAACTGATTTAGGTTCTCATGGGTACAAAAAACAGTAGTCATTCTCCCATCCCTTATCTCTCATCTTTTGTTGTCTCTAACACTTGCATGGCCATATGGATTATGGACTTGAGCTCACTGAAAATGAACCTGGCTATAACACAACTTATCATCTAGGTCATAGGAAAAAGGAGGTCAGGGCTTCCAGCAGATGTAAAGAGCTGATTGTAATATTGACAAAACCTTTCTATATTTGTTAGCTTAGTGGAAACAGAGTCTGCTCAAACTGAAGAACATGTAGAGATGCTTTAAGTGGTCTTCAGTGAGGCAGCTTGAGCTTAGACATTTGCAGTTATTTTGAGAATATTAAAAGGTTTCTTTCTTTATCATTAATACTTCCAAAAACATGAAACACTTCAGTGCTACTGCCTAATAGCATAGGTGAAATGGACATTGTTTCCTTGACAGTCATGTAAATCCAGATTTCAGGATTCATGCTTATGCCAGCTAATTAGCCTCTACTTATGGTGCCCAGATTGGTAGCAGAGTGTCCAAAGGCTTCTTCTGCTATGAAAGTGGAGAGATGAATTCCTTTAGACCATATTTTAGATCAATTGCTCATGATCAGACCAAAGGTAACCTGCCTCCTGGAGTGCACCAAAAATAGGATGCATTAGGGAGATTATATGAGCGGATCAGTATATGATCATACATCTCTACAGCACTCTCCCAGCTTTCAATATATATAAGGACAGAGCCAGGTCATAGCTTTGTGTTCATCTCTTCAGTTTCCTTCTCCATATGAAGGACCCTGCTTCAAGATCTGTTTAGATCTGTACTTCAGTATTCTGTTTACTCATTTTCTGTCTTTTGTCATGGCTCTAAGTGCCCACAGAAGGGAAAAATTCAGGCTATCTTAGGGGAAAGCAGATAGCCTGCCACCTTCCAGCCCATGTATGAGTAGCCATGGTAAGAGTTGCCTTTAACGGTGGCAAAGAACATGCTGTTCTCTTGCTGTTTCTTGTGAGGTCTACATTGAGCCTGTAGGTAGGAGAGGGCTTAAGGCTGAGATCATTCAGCTACACCAGGTTTTCTCTAGTCAGAGAACTCCCTGTTATGGATGAGTCAACAAGGGCGGGTGGAAAATCTGAAGTTGATCCTTGGCAACCTCAGAACAACTCACTGTGTTGGAGATTAAGGTGAGCTGGTTGCTTCACAAGTATTTCTGTCTGAGTGTCCAGGCAGAATTCAAGATTGAATAAAGATCTATGGTACTGGCTTTTAAATTTGAAAATAACAACACTAATCCAGCTTTGCCGTATGCAGCTGGAACAAATACTGGGAGATGGCTTTTTCTACCATCTCTCTAGATATCTCCATTACCGTGCCTCCAGCCATTTGGTTTCAAAAGAGAAGGGTGGGGGAGGAAAACAGAACAAAACACCAACAGCTTAGCAGGTTTATAATAGTTTGTGATTTCTCACAGATATTGTCTTTGTTTGTTTGTTTTATTCCTAGGTGGAACACTGCTGACAATCTCTGGGGTGGGTTTTAGCCAAAATCCTGCCCTAGTTTCTGTTTCAATGAATGATCAAACCTGCATGATTACCCACCTGTCAGACGAGACCATTTGGTGCCTAACTCCACCAGCTTCTAATGTGTCTAATGAAGATTCACAAGACATCTCTGCTACTGTAAATGTGCTGCTCAGCAGTAGGTCACTTCCCCATAGTTCTTTTGAAAAGAACACCACTGTCTTTAGTTATCAAAGGACTTTGACTCCTGTGATAACTAGTATTGGAATGGAGGTCACTGGCAGCAGTCTGGTCTTGAGCATGCAGGGGACAAACATCACTGAATCTGTTGCTAAACTTGGGGACAGTGAATGTGCCCTTGAGTTTCAACATGGCAACAGTTCTACAATGTTTTCCCAGTGTTCCTTACCGCTGACCAACCTGGAACCTGGGACTTACCCCGTCAGGGTTATCCAGAGGCAGCTAGGATATGCTCACGTAGCAGCAAGACTACAGTCTCTTATAGTAACTCCCCAGGTAACTTCCATCTTCCCAAAGCAAGGTTCAATTTGCGGTGGGATAGTATTGATTATATCTGGCACTGCTTTAAAATCCAGAAGGAATTTGGTACAGGTGAGCCTGGAAGGTAACTATTCCTGTGAGATCCAGAACTCTGATAATAACGTCATTAGGTGTTTCCTTCTCCCAGGAGCCCATCCTTTACCTTATGAGAGATTGATTGAGGCATCCTGGGCTCTTAATGTCACAGTGACTGTCAATGGCATTGACAGTGTCTGCCTTGGAGACTGTACGCTTCACCTACATGAGCAGTGGACCCCCCTTGTAGATTTGGTGACCTGGGAAAATAGTGGGGCATTCACCTACCTGATGATCAAAGGACAGCAACTGGCACAACCAAGCGACAACCCTGTAATACACGTGAACAACCAACCTGTCTGTAAGGGAACTTTCTGGAACGAGACCAACATCAAGTGCCAGATGGACTGCATCGCCCCTGGGAAGTACAACATTTCTGTATCCAATGGGAGAAGTGGACAAGCGTGCTTCAGAAGAGCAACTGAGGTTCTCACTGTCGTGCCTCAGGTGCATCAGTTTTACCCCCAAAACTTCAGTACCAATGGTGGAGGCCTGCTCACCTTAGCAGGCTCAGCAATGAAAGGCAAGAGCATGACTTCTGTTCTTGTTAATTATCATCCTTGTCTCATTCTCAATGTCTCCTGCACAAGTATCCAGTGCACGGTGCCTCCTGGCAATGGGACTAGTGCTTTGAGCCTAAGAGTAGATGGCACAGACTATTATCTTGGAAGAATAACTTACAGTGAGGAGTTCACCCTAGCTTTCCTTTCACTTGTGCCTGCTGGCCTTCTTTTAACGATGACCGTATCAGGGGTCATAGAGATGGAGAGCATTCACATATTTGTTGGAGACTTTGCTTGTAGTGGTATCACCATCACGCAGTCTACATTGCAGTGCTCAGTCCCTCCACTCCCTGCTGGCAAGTACCACGTGCTGGGCCTCGATGTCCTCAGGGGATGGGTTTCCTCTAACTTGACGTTCACATCTCAGCTGTCAGTGACATCTGTGCATCACAACTGGGGTAAGTCATGAAGGGCTGCTGCAGCTCCTCCACAGTGCTCAGCAATGTGGTGGGCTGACACAACTGTGGATAGCTCGTGTGAAATAAAAAATTGTGTGTTAAGAATCCCTCATGTTGATAGAGATACTGAAGTAGGTTTTTTATACACAGGTTTATGTGAGGAAATCTTTACTGGGTTTTGTAGCTAGTGGTCTGTGATTTGATGGTCCATCATCCCTGACTATCTTTTTTTAAGTATGCAGACCATAGATCACTCAAATTCCTGACACTTCATGGAGATCCTTTAACTGAAATGTAGATATTGACTATGCAGTGATTTCTTCACTTCATTCCTCTGTATTCAGCCAGCTTTAAGACTGTGATATGTTTGTACTGCATAAATTAGCAAACCCAGAAGTGGAGTTCATACAGAGGCTGAATATAGGATGGGTGTACCCAGACTCAAATATAATACCGAGATTAATGCTCTCTTCAGCTCTAAGTGGCATGTTCCTGTCGGTAGCTGACCACTGGGTTACCTCCTCAAACCCGTTCTCTGTTTCTTTTTCCAAGGTGGCTTGAATGGAGAAGAGGTTCATCTGCATGGAATGGGGTTTTCTCCAGGACAGACTTTGGTCACCATCTGTGGCACCCCTTGTGAAATTCTGGGCAACGTGACAACGACCGACCTGAGCTGCCTCGCCCCACGCTTGAATGGTTAGTTAAGACACAAAACCTGGTGTTGTGTAAAGAAAATTTGCCCTAAAGACCTGTTATAAACTAAATATGAGGGGCTCTTTTGTATCCCATCCCAGGGAAATAGAGGAAAAGCATCACTAGTCATAGACATATATTTTATCCTTCCCATACTGTCAGCACACCATTAAGCTCCTAAAATCTGCAAAAGGCAGGATTTAATCTTAAATCTCACCCAGAGAAGTATGCCTTTCAGCAAATGCTGTTTTCAGAGCCTTGCTGCCTGTTATGGTATGGCAACATCTGGTAGTGAATGCTCTAGTCCTTGCTTAACTCTGAAGCTTAGGAAGCATCCTGAGAATTGACAAAATCCTTACAATTCTGTGGACGTCCAGGTGCTCAAAGATCTATGGTCTTTCAGGTCCTTCATGGACCTGAAAGGAAGGAGGATGTGAGAGTGTCTGAAATTGCCAGGATTTAGCCCAAAGTAGTGTGGGATCTCCATCCTTGGATATATTCAAAAGTTGACTAGATAAGTTGTTGAGAAACCACTCATTTCAGTACTTCTTTAAGCAAGGGCTTGGACTACGGAGCTCTGTGCATTCCTATTGATCTAATTTATTCTAAAATACTACATTTGTTTCTTGCCATTTTGAACAATTTCTTCCTTATCCACGAGGAATATAAAGAAAAATTGAGGGGAGAGGGGAGTGGGTAAAGGAGAAGACTCAAGTGCTTGGAAAGGAAAACACAAGAGACTGAAAGGGCTGATCTTTTTTTTTTTTTTTTTCTTTTTAATCTGGCTGTGTCCAGATAAACTGATTTCTTATTATTAAAGACAAAAATATATGGTCCTCCTGAAAGAAAAGAAAAGAAAAGAAAAGAAAAGAAAAGAAAAGAAAAGAAAAGAAAAGAAAAGAAAAGAAAAGAAAAGAAAAGAAAAGAAAAGAAANAAGAAAAGAAAAGAAAAGAAAAGAAAAGAAAAGAAAAGAAAAGAAAAGAAAAGAAAAGAAAAGAAAAGAAAAGAAAAGAAAAGAAAAGAAAAGAAGAAAAGAAAAGAGGATCCTAGAGAGGGATGGTTATTGCAAGAATAATAATGGGATAAAATGTAATCAAAATGATCCAAACTGTGAAAACATTAACAACCGTGTTCAGAATTCAGTGAGAAGCAAGCAGCAAGGGGGAGTCTGGGGTAAGCTGTTTTTCAGGCAGGGTCCCAGTGCTTGGTACTGACACTAGGTGTCAGCAGGCGAACGCTGATCGCTCCTGGTCACATCTTTGCTGGGTATGTGCTACCTTGCAAACCAAGCAGACACATGCAATTGCTTTGGGTACTACAGGTCCAGCACAGGGAAAGAAACCTCTCTCCTTCCTCTCTTGGTCTTCATAGAGTGCAAATTTGTGTGCAGGCAACTTTGCAAAACTCACCGGTTGAGTTAGAAAAGTGTTTCACTTGTGTCATTCAATGATGTGTTTATGTTTAAAAAACAAAAAGAAAACAAGCAAAAAAAAAAACAGCTTACTTGAGAACATTTGCCATGGTATTTATACTCGTGAGATAAGTGCATATTTGTATATGTAACACACATCTGTACAAGATGTGTTGTGGATCTGGTAAAGAACAGCCTACTTTTCAGCCTGTGTGGGTATCTCCATGCCAAAAATATTTAAGGGATTACACATCCCAAGTATTTAGGAAGTGAGTGGACTTCTCAAAAGCAGATAATCTGGTCTCACTTTACATCTTACATGTTGCTGTTTGCCACCTCTGACTCGCATGACTTGCACTCAACCCTTCTTTTGGCCAACACATTCGCTTGGAACTGGTCCTGAGGTGGCTTAGGGGATCCTCTGAGAGACAAATCTGCCTCATGACGTTGTCTTTAGGAATGGATATTGAGTGGAACTAGCAAGGTCTGGGTTTTATCATTGACCAAAAAGACCTGGATGGACTGAATATTGAACTGAGATCAACCCAAACACTAGAAAAAGGAGCATAAAGCTAGACTCAAAAAAAAAAAAAAAAGAAAAGTTTTTTCCCACCTGCAGAAAATTAAAATCAAAACAGAGCTTCACCTTGAGTTTCATACTTAAAGTTTAAAAAGAATATATTAAAAATAACAAAACCATCTCTCTTAAAGGGGGAAAAATACAATAAATCTTAAAAGCTCTGGTACAGAAATGACTGTCTTGATCCCAAGAGCTCTACTCCTTTCTTTTTCTTTCTTTGTTACTCCTGTTGCAGAGCTGCTGAGTAGTGCAAATGCAGCAGTGGATTCTGTTCAGCTCAGGTTAAATTTAAAGAACATGCAACTAATGTCTGTGGGATTAAATTGTTCTCCTGTGAAAGATGGAAAGATTAGCAGGATGTTTTAGGCTGCTGAGAAAATAGTTGGAAATTCCTGTTGGGCAGTATTAGGGTAGATACTGTATATATGATTTACGTTAAATCAGTACCTAAGGTGATATGTCTGACATTGGGGACAGGGCAAGGAAGATGCCTCTAAAAGGAGACAAACTGATGGCAAGATCCATCAGGGCAAAAGCTCGATGTGATTTAGCCACCGTCGTCAGTCCAGGTTTTAGGATTTTGGAGTTATAGCAAACTGTGTACCGGCCATTATCCAATTTACACTGGTAAAAGTGGATGTTTAGGGAAAAGGTTTTAGGTTAAGACAAAAATGAAATGAGGTTGGTTTAGAAGGAAATTTGGCAGAATTTTTTATATCAGGTAGCAGGAGAGGGAGGAATATGTTTTGGATGTGGAGGTACAAGTACACCAAGGAGTAGTGAATTAGGACCATAGGAGATTATACCCAGGGAAACTGGGAGATTTATACGAATGGAGAAAACCTGTAGAGGCTGTGCCATGCCTGTTGTGATCTGAATAGCAACTAGTGCATCTGATGTTTATTGTGGAGCCCGAACATAAAGATCCATATGGTTTCTTCTGTCCTTCATGCCCAGAATTGCAACAGAGGGGGGGAAAAAAAAAAGAAACAAACAAAAAACCCCATATTGATTACAAAGCAGGAGCATTCTGACAGTGAGATCTATCAGGCAGCAGAATAGATGTTTGCAAAGTCACCTCTTGGGACTTTTAAAACTCAGCTGTGCGAAATGAATGTCTCGTAGGGAGCAATTCTTCATAGGCAGAGGTTGGACTCAATGACCTTAACAAGTCTCTTATTTTTTCCTCTCTCTCTCCTTTCTTCTAACCTTTGTCTCTCTGCTAAGCATATGTTAATGCTGTGTTTTGCAGCTGCTCACAAGTGGTGGGTAACTGGGGAAACTCAGCTTTGCACGTTGGGCAGTTGTTCAATAAGTCAGCAGCTGCCCTTGCAGCTCTGGTAGGTTTTAGTCTCATCACGTGTCCAGCCATTGTTACTAAACAGTGACCTGGGACAAAGCCCTTGTGCTGAGCATCCCAGGATCCCCACTTGGGCAGTAGAATCCTCAAAAAATGTATCCCCCCCAAAAAATAATACCTAACCCATTAACCATATGAAGAGATCTGGCTGACGCTGTGTGTGATCTCAAAAGACAAGATGTAGTAGACTGAATGCACTTATATCACTGGTGGGATTATATCAGGCATGATTAGCAGATTCTATGAATATGGGAATATTAAATACATGAAGCAGATATTATTATTATTATTATTATTATTATTATTATTATTATTATTATTATTATTATTTTGTCTTGTACTTTTCACAATTGTGGCAGGAGATGATATCACCTTAATATGCCCTAGAGATATTAGCATTTAATGATTGCAGGGTGTCACTCACCCCCCCCCCCACCCCATACACACATACCTGAATAGGGCTACATGTGAAAAGTCAGATTGAGCTGGAAAAGGAGCATATCCATCACACAGGGAGGTGAAAAGTCAGCATTTAACTGAGCAAAGGGTTAAGAAATCCTCTGGAAATAAGGCAAGAGTAGAATTTCAGAGATTCTGAAGGACAGGATGAGATATGGAGACTCCACAAGGGGTGATATCTCCATCAGATGGACAGGAGCTGTAGGATGTGGAAATGAGAAAGTGATTTTGGGGTTTATTCTGGAGTTTCTTGCATTTTGGTTTGATTTCTTCATGACCCTTTGCAACCATGTCCTCTTTTTTTTTTTTTTCATTTCCATTTTTTCATTTTTCATTTCATTGAAAGTATTTTCAATACTTTCATTTGCCTATCTTCGTTTAAAAATGCTTCAACATTTAGCAAAATAGAAAGTCTTATAATTCTACAGGCATGGCAGTGCCAAGATGACGGCACTGGTGTGCTTCAAAATGCCTAATTCCCAAACAATGTTTCCAGGATATGAAAAGGTAACAGGCTGTTCTTCTGCTGAACTCTGATGCTGTACAGGAAATATTTTCTGGTGATCTACATTAACTAGGCAAGTCCTTTGGCAGCAGCCAGGTTGTAAGGATAATATTTAGGTGGATTCTGTGGATCGTTCATCCCAGAACTGGGTTCAGTTGTTTTCTTTAGGCACCCAGGAAAACTCCATCAGTTTGTATTCAAGACTGTAAAAAAAAATCCAACGTCTCTTTTGATTAGTTTGCCTATGTGTTGTTTTTCTTAAGCTGTGGAATGTGAATATAATCTTTATTTAATACTACGCTAGCTGTTTATTCGTCAAAAGCAGTTGTAGGGTCTTCATTATTACATCTGAGCATATTAAAGCCTCTCATGTCACTACTAAAACAGAGAAAGCTATTACACTTTTTTACAGAAGGAGAACATAATTCTCTTCTGACCATGCTAACTTTGTGGGCTTGCAAAGAGAGGAAAGGTTAATGCCCTAACTGCCTTAGTGTTTGCCATCTTTGCTGGTTTTGACAAGTTCTCAAAGTTATGGCTAAAGAATGAAAAGCATAAATACCATCTCCTTCGAAGAACATCCTGTAATTGCTTCTGATGCAGGTAAAAATGCTGCAAAGACAAATTATTATTAGTGTTTGGGTTGACAATCATTTGCCAAAACACATTGAAATTGCATAGAGAATGGAAGCCTGGCCTGCAGTAAAATGCAAGACTTAAGTATAGAACATTTCTGGTTGCTCTAGACATCATTTCTGGAGAATAAAAACAAAATATAAGCTTGATCTTAAAGGTTTTTCTGTCTGTCCTTTCTGTATCTTTCATGTAGACTGGGATTTTTAAGGCTGAGATTGTGTTTTGCTGTGTTTGACTAGATGCTGGACAAGCCAATCATGACTGGACTTGTGAAGAGATTTAACATATAACAAAAAGTGTGAAGATGTGTTTTTTTTCTCATTCTCATTCTAGAGAAAAACATTATTGAAAAACCATGAACTTTCACTCTGCAATTTAGAGTAGATGAAATACTAGAGTATTTTTCTAATAGTGAAACCTAAACAGAGATATAAATATTTCAAAAACACTCTATAAGTATCTAAAAAAATAAAAAAGCGCCATAAACTGTAAATATTTAACATATGTAACATAACAAATTCATATTTTTACCACTTCAAAATGAATTTTCACAAATGCTTAGGTGGTAAGATATTCATTGATAATGACAGTTTCCTAGCAAACAAGAAACCTTTAGCGTAAACTGGAATTTAAAAACAAACAAAGAAAATCTTAAAAAAATTCCCATTGATTGCTCTTCTGATACATGCTGAAAGCTCTTAGGTACCACAGTGCAGACTGCAGTACTGTCCACAAATATTTTCAATAGTTCATTGTAAATGTTTGGTAGTCCAGCATTAATGAATGTTCTCCACAACTATTTACATGCCCAGGAATTTTTATTGAAGCAGTCTTGATGTCTGATATGGTTTAATGTTTAAAGTTTGTTTGTTTGTTTATTTTTGTCTGGATTTAGAATAAGAAAATCCCATTTGTTTGCAAATCTGGTCCCTTAAATATTCTTCAAAGAAAAACATCCCCTCTCTTCAAATCTCTTCTCATATCTATCAGTTGGACTTGGACTGAGTCTCTAGCCACACTCAAGTACAAAGCTGCATCTTCCAGATCACTGATGTTCCCTAGAAGAAAACCTCCAAGCATGGCAATGCTCTTAATAAAGCTGTTTATGGATTTCAGAAGCTGTGCTAGACATTAGGAGTAGTAAGGGCTCTTTTTCTAAAGACTTTGAGCCTGTTACCTTGCCTCACAACAGATAACTTGATCCCAAAGGCCACCCGAATGCTCATCTTATAAGGAAAGTCATCAGCTTGAACACACTGAGCAAGAGGCTGAAGTTGGGTGGAGACCTACTCATCCTCAGGAAGGATGTACCGAAGGAGAGGACAGGACATGCAGATTAGGTTTCCACAGTGAAAACTGCCAGTATCCAAAATCCGATTAACTTCATCCATGTTGTAGGCTTCTCTGAGTTATTTCTCTGCTCTTGTTTCTGCAGCATCTTTGGCCCTTCTTTGTGGTCTGAAACACTCTACAGCCGACTGCCAAGAAGCTGGGTCCACCTTCATCAAATGCAATGTCCAAGTCACTGTGGCTTCCTATCACCAGAAGCAATCTGTGTTTTACTTGTATGTGTGTGACCACCGTGGACCTCAGTGCCATCAAGGGGACGTCAACGTGTCCCGGTGGCAATTTTCTGGACTCTTTGTCAGGTTAGTGCTGGTTCTCTCCTGCAGCTGCATGGGCCCAGCTGTGGGCAATATTCCCCAGAAAGGGAATTAATTTCACCTTTTGGCAGAAATGGCCCCTACTCGATGATGGATTGATGACAGAGCAAATTTCTAATTCTTAAGTTGATGCCAGCAGAGCAGTTTGGCCTTGAGACCGCTAGAGAGCTCCGCTGGGTTGTGAAATTAATTCTTGGTGTCTATCAAAGCATCTCTAGTGTCCCCCCCCTTCCTTTCCTCCCATCTTTTTAAAGTGTTCGAGAGACATCAGAAAATCCATCTCGTAAACAGCTTGCTTTGTTCCTTCTTAGGTTTTAATATTTATCTTCTGATCCAAAGCAACATCTGGTGGATGCCAATGGGGAAAAAGATTAGGCATTATGAAAAGCAGAAGTGTTTTTTTATTTTTTTTTTCCTCTCTCTCTCTCTTTCTTACTTCCTCTCTCCAAGCAGCTTCTCCAGTAGAAAGCTGCAGAGAAAATTCAGCAAACTGTGCAATATTTACTCAGCAAGGGTGCTCAGGCAATTCCTTAAGGCTCAGGCTTTGCAAACCCGAGGCCAAGTTGCCTGAGAGTGCATGTGGATACCATGGCCTTTGACAGAGTGGTGGGGTTTTATATCTGCAGAGCATTTGCTTAGAGGAAGAAAAAAAGAGGTTTGAATGAAGGAATAACCAGATGAGAAAACTTTTCTGAAAGACCTCAGAAAACTAGGATATCACCCCACTGAGATGGTGAACACGTTCTTGACTGGTGCATGTTGGTACAGTGCAGGTACTTCAGTGTAGTTGTAAAGAAGGTGCATCCTAGAACATGGGGTGGATCGTTTTATTGGGGAGACAATAATTGGGAGACTCAGGAGGGAAAAAAAAAATCCTGAAGTTAAACTGATCTCAGTGTTTCTGTTTTCTCATTTGTGTTGCCACTGTGGCTGCTTCAGCCTGGTGTGGGCAGGACAAGTGGGAAGGGACACCTGCCTATGGGCACTTGGTTTGGAACATGCAGAGGAGAGTGAGAAAAAAGAAGAAAAAGATCAGGTCACACAGTCCATTTGTTGTCTGCCTCCTTTTTGCTCTTAATTGTGGTTTTTGTCCAATTTGATTGTAAATGCCCCCAGAGACAGCACTTACCATTCCTTCAGGGTGATATTTCTAAATCCAAGTGCATTTCACCTTTTGGAAACTTTTTCTTACTTGCTTTTCCCACCCTGTTCTGTTCATTTCTCCACCTTCTTATTACTGTCAGTAGCTTCTTGCCTGCTGTGCTCACAGTCTGCTAAGGAATTTTCCAGTGGAATTATGTTTTTTTTCTTTTCTGGTGAATCTGTTTCTAAACAGAGCCTCCCTGAAAAGAAGGGGGTGGTTTGATCGCACATGAATCTCCTAGTTTGGAAAGTTTAAGGGAAAGAAGAGGAAGAGGGAGTTTGGAATCATCCAAAAGATTAATTTCAGAACATTCTAAAATAATTTTTCAAAATTCAGTTCAGAAAAAAAATCATTTGAAAATATCAATGGAATTTGTATCAAATTGTTAGAAAATTAGAAAGATCAAAAAAAGAAAAATTCCTTTGGGAATTCCGGAAATAATACACATGACTCAATATAAAAAAAAAAAAAAAGATTTGATTTTACTTCGTTCTTCCAGGTTTTAAAAAAGATCTAAACATCCTCTCTTGCTTGACTGCATGCTAGATCTTTCCTGTTATTTCTTATGAATTTTATATTGGTTTACTATAGCCTATGCGTTATGAACACTTAGTGTCAAATGTATATTCCTTAGAAGAGATGCAGATTTTGCCATTAACAATACTAGGACCAGGATATATCCCTGAATCCCTTTTGCAGGTCAGCTCTTGCTGCATTTCCTTAAACACTACAATTAACAGTTTTCCAGCAGCAGGTTTCAGATGCAGTTATTACAAGAAAGAATTGGCCCTTTGTCCTCAAGCAAAGCAAAATCGATTAATTTGGGGGTTTTTTGTTTTTTTTTTTCTTGTTTTTTGTTTCTTTTTAAAGACTTGAATGACCAAGGGAGATCCCCCCACAAAGTCTTCAAGACCTGGCAAAAAGGACTCTTGCTGTATATCTTGCTATTGAAAAACGATTTCTCCCTTTCAAACAGTTGGCTATTTAAAGGATGCAGCATTTTCTTGTAATATTAAAAAGAAAAAAAAAAAAAAGTAATATGCAGATGGCCCAGTCTATTTGAATTATTGTACAGGACAAGAGCAGTTCTCAAAGTGATGCAATCAAAAGAGAATTTACTTCCCTATGGCTGGTTTCCGATTATTGATAGAGTAGAGGGAAAGGTTCATTTAAATACATAAATAAAATGCACTGTTGAAAAGATTCAGCTACTTGCAGGTTTTTTTCTTGTTGTAGTCACTAATGTGGCTGCTTCTTTTAGCGTTTTAACCTCCATTGCCATGGAAAAGGGCAGCAAAACAAATACCCCCTAAATGCTTTCTCAGAGTAGCTCGGAGTAGTACAGTGAGCTACCACATCCAACACAGTTTGAAAACTCCAGGTTTATTCCATCTCCCTGATTGTGGAGCTCCTTATGGTAGGGTTTCTGACTCGGTTGATCTTGGTAGAATTTAGGCACCTAATTTTTTAGGTACTTCCAAAAATCCCTTTAGATGAGATTTTCAGGCATCCCAAGACCTTTGAAAATCCTTCTCCTACCTATCTGTTCTGCCTTGCTTAGTAAAACCTCTTTGGAAGTCAGAACAGTGGAATAAAATCCGGATGTGCCTGTGCTGCTATAATTTACCTCCTCTTTGCTCTCCTTCTTACGAGGTATGAATGGGGTGAGAGGAAGAAGGAAGAATGTGAGAGGAAGGAATGGAAATTAATTGACACTGGAGTATCCTTATTCAAAGCCTGTTGGAGTATATAGAGTAATTTTCCATTCATTTTGAGGGACTTGGGGTCCTACAGTTGGGTCAGCAGCTGTTAGCAGCAAGACCCAGTAAAAATATCTTTTCCCCACCACCTTGTCATTACTTCTTCCCTCTATGGAAAGAGGGGATTTGAGAGCAAACATTTGTTAGCATAACTGGCACATATATCGAATCTGCTTAGTCTGGGCTGTTAAGTAAGTTTAATTAATTTACTAAGTTAATGTTCCAACACCAGCAACAAAGCATCATTGCAATCAGCTGGGCAGCAGGAATTGGAACCCCTAAATGAGCTCATTTTGTCACAGTTGGAATTAGGGACCAGTTAGCCAGTTGTGTGGTTTTTCCAATTTCTCCCCTTGCCCTAAGGGAGCTGCAAGTTATTCATTCTCCATTGCTAAGTGTGAGTAAGACGGGGAGGGGGGGCGACACGAGCAAAACCTACTCCACGTAGGATCCATCTTTGATCCTAACACTGCTGATTCCCTCGCTGTTGTCTCCGCTTATCTTCCCGGCTTGGTCCTAGAACGGCATTTGCTGCTCTTTGTAATAGTTTGGGGAAGTAGAAAGGCACCACTAAGAGATATTTACTTCGTGTGTTTTCATTGGGGGTGTGTGCAGATAAAGGGGGGGAAAAAAAAAACAAATAAACAATAAAAGAATGGAAACAAAATTACAGAAATTTGCAAAGTTTGACAAATGGTGGCCAGGAGTTGCCACAAGCTAATGGCTTGCAATGATTAATAAGAGTAAAAATAATTGCATTTCATTAAGATTGATGACACCCCATTTAACCTCCCTTCTCGTTTCAGCCCTAAAGTGGAAAGAGATGAAGTTCTCATCTATAATAGCTCCTGTAACATTACCATGGAAACTGAGGCAGAGATGGAGTGTGAGGGAGCTAATCAGCCAATTACCGCCAAGATTACTGAGATATGGAAAAACTGGGGCCAGAACACTCAGGTATAATCAAATCTTTTTTACAGACTGATTCAAACAGCTTAAAATTAAATTTGTAATATTGTGTACATTTAAAGGGGGCGAAAAAAAAAACAATTTAGGCTGAGCAGCAGCAATATATAATATTAAATGCTTTCCAACTTCAAATAGCAATTCTAATGTAATGCAGCTGTGTTAATGGTTAACTGGTTAATCATGTATTTTATGAGACTTAAATGAGCTTTACCTTATTTTCTGGACAGTATATATCTTTTTTTTTTTTACAGTCTCTTTTTATATAAATGCAAATTCTGTTTAAAAAGTGCTGTTTTCTGTTTTCATTTTCACTTGATAAGATATCTTAGGTGTAAGATACAGAGTTTCAGCTTTCCTGCAGAAATTTAGCATTCAGCACTGGTCGAGCTATGGTTGTATTTGTGGGGTTTTTTGCTCCTCTTAAGCATCTGAAATAAAATGGGACAGTCTCTCCAGGGCTATATAGGGGTATAACAAAGAAAAAGATATTACCAAAGTTCATTTTGTAAAACAAAACAAAAACTACGACTCTTATTACTCTTAACTAAAATCATCTTAATATTTACAAATGTTCATTGCCAATGCACACATCCTTTCAGAGTTTCTGGAGTGTTGCACTGAAGTATTGGGTTGTGGCACTTGTGACATGGAATTCGAGGAGGAACAGAAGAAAGTTAAATATTCAATATCCAAATATCATATAGTTGTCTTAGTATAGATGAGACCTAGAAAAGTAAGTCTTTTTTTTTTTTTTTCCTCACAATTGCTGTCAAAGATGTCGTGCTAGTTCTTAACTCTGATATTTGCAGTGAGTTCCTTTACCTGCTTTCCAACCCAGAAGTAACTATAGAGTCATGGTAAAATACTTTTGTTTCTGACACCAAATTCTGAAGTGTTTACTCAGTCAGAAGTCTCTGAATTTGTCCTGTATATATATTTTAGATGCTGGTTACCATTGTAACCAAGAATCCTAAAATGCATCTGCTTTCCTCTATTATGTTAAAAGAAAAACAACTTATCAAAAATTTTAAGTGTGTCCTTCGCCTATAAGGGAATATCATATACAACCTTATCCCTATTTTTGCTGCCAGCTTTCATGATTTCCCATCTTTTTTGTGCTCCGAACAATGTGGGCTGGCACCTTCTCCATGGCTCATTTGCTCATCAGCATTGCCAGTTATGCTTCCAGAAACACGCACTGCAACGAGGGAAAAACCACCCCCAAAATTATTATTTAACCTCTTTAGGAGGCCAGCAAAAAAATGTTTTTAGTCCAGCATCAGATCAAATGGTAACTTCTCCTTTCCTTTAAATTTTAGTTCCCAAATATGCTAAGGACATCTGGGTTCACGTAGCCCAAGGACCCATCACCTCCCCTCGGCTCCAGCCTGATCGGCTCGTGAGCATCTTGGGTCCATAGTCTCCATAGGGAGATGAAAATCTGTCTACATTTTTTTCCTGGTTCAGGTAGGAGCAAGAATAGGAAGACATTGTGAGTTTTGTCCCTGGTTGCTCAGTGCAGTGTGGGGAAAATCCACAACATCTTAGGTGTCTTGAATGAATGAAGGGGAAGAGGAACAAAACCAGCAGTGCTTTCAGATTCAGCATTGACTTCCACTTAATGAATCCAGGGGGTATTTGGAATCATTTTATCCCTCTTCCCAAACCTGGCCTGGGTGAATAGAGGTGGGTGGGTGGGGAGTTCAGATAAATGGTTTCAATTTGGGTCCCTTTCTAGCTGACAGCATCCTGTGAAGATTTATGACTTGGTGCAGCACACGCATGCTTCACTGTGGAGGTTTAAATCATGTCGTGTGAACAGGCCTTACCTTTCCAGTGGAAATAATGGTCCCCAGGTTCAGCACCGAGCAGTGAAATGCATTAATAGCACCACGTGCCTTAGGATAATGGTGTTATTAACAGGCAACACAACTCGACGTACAAGTAATGGGACTGCATCTTTTTTATAATAACACCTGGCACTACTGTTGCACTCTCACATAAGGATCTCAAAGCGGTTCATAAAGACTGGGCTTAATCCTTAACTGCTGTCAGCATATGTAGCTACAACAATCAGTTTTATTTCCTGTACACTTTTCTGTACGATGCTCAAGCAGGCTGGCAAGTCAGCAGCATCTTAGCAAGGCTTGGCTTTGTGGGAGGCCTTGGGCAGGGATGAGTAAGCCTCTCTGGATTAGCTCCAGGACAGTGCTGGAACAAAAAGAAGCATCCCAGAATGTCTGGTAAAAGTATAAATGAGACTTGGCTACCAGGAGCATGGAGGGAAGAAATGAGAAAAACTGTGGTTAACAGCAGAAAAAAAAAAAATCTAAAGGTAGGTTCTTGGAATTTGAATGTAAGGGGTGCAAACTCTAGAGTTTGGGAGTGTTTTCTTCTGTTCTATACTTCTTATAAAGCACCTAATGGGAAATGAGGTTAGTTCTTAATATAATAGAGAAAATAATGACATGACCACCTGCTTTTGGGTATAAGAAGGTCCATGCTGAGATGTGGAGTGGAAATGAGATGAATGCAGAGTGGAAGCGTGACCAAGTTTTGCAGCAAGTTTCTGGAGAGAGAACATCAGGAAGCTTCACAGAGCTTAGGGAGGAAGCACAGTAAGGGTATGAGAGCAACTAGGTGTCACGATAGCTGCAGGACTAGGGACCTGAGCACTGGCGACATGGTCATCTCTTCCAGGTCTATGTTTCTATGATGCTTTCAGCAGCTCTGTTATCCCTTGTCGCAGACAAGACCTAGGGATGTGGAAGAGAAATCCATGTGCAAGGGTCCTAGCCTAGCAAGTTGGAGACACGTCTGTCAGCTGAATCAGCTTCCCTAGATTAGCAGGCTCTTTGCACTGTAAATAACCAGTTTTAATCTTGTCCAAATCTGCAGAACAATATTCTAATAGTGACTTGATTAACCTATAAATTCACTCTTGATCTGTGAATCAGCTTTGCTGAAAATTGCATTAAACAGTTAATATTTAGTCCAGGAATCAGACTCAGCATGGTTGTGAGTATCAAACTGTTGCCAGAATGGCACAGTCCTTCATTTTTCAGGTCAGATCCCAAATATATTATGTGGATTCCCATGGTATTCTCTCACTGGCTGTGTAAATTGTATGTGCATGCAGAAGCCATGGACACCAAAAATATCCACGGAGATTAGCAAAAATTGTATGTACTCTTTCTACATGAATTAATGAGGTGTTAGTTCTCTGAACTGGTTTTGATTGTCTGGCATATGCACTAATCTCATAACAGGTAAGAGAAGTTTACTCTAGCCAGATGTAAATCCCTAATTTTATTCTAAAATGTTTTGCCTTTTTTTTTTCCTCTCATAAATGCATACGAAGACCAATTTTAATGAAAATTAAGAGCTTAAATCTAGATGCTTTAATTTTTTGGATGATCTTCTTATTTACTTTTACATGAAAGAAAGTTCTTCCACCTCTTATTTCTACCTGCCTTTGCTTGAAAGTTAGAATACAGATGCCACCCAAAATTAGATGATATTTTTGAAAAATGCTGGCTATCCTTTTCACATTGCATGTGGTGTGCAGAGCCTTCTCTCATAGGGCAATTACCTGAATTTGCTATTCAGTTAAACTATTTTAAAAGCTCTTAGCCATGACCCTCAGTGGAGAAAAATATCTGTATTTCCATTGAAGGGAAGGTCATAACCATCACCTCAAGTTTTATCCCTTACTTTATTGATTCAGCCTTTGCCTGGGATCATGTATGTATTTGAATGTCTCCTTCTGCCAAATGCTTTGGAAATCGAAAATTGCAAACTTTTGAGCTTGAAGTATTTGCCACTCTATGACTTAATCAGGTCACATGAAGTAAGCAGCAGGCCTCTGCTCCACAGTTTGATTTGACATTGTTAGTGGTTGCCACTCGCTCCATTATTAGCTCAGGAAGAACTGCAGAATTATTTTTATATCACTGTATAATGCAATTTAGCATACGGAAAGGAGAAGGGAGGGGAAAAAAATCTGGCAATGATTGTATATATCCCATAGGACTTAATTAGCTCACATTTTCATGATATACTGGATAATGGAAAGATATGAATTAAATAATAAAAGAGAAAAGAAAAATTCTAATGCTCAGTCACTACCTGTCCACTTCCACCTTGGATGCATAATGAGATGTCAGCTGCTGTGACACTGATGAGACATGCAAAACACACCAGTAACACTTGTAAAGGATGCTCATGGGAAGGTTTGACCAGGCTTGGATGTTTCCGAACCTATTATGCTTAGTGAGCCTTCAGATTATTATTCCAGATCACTGGACCAGACCTAATCATCATGCAAGCATGCTGCTTGAGCAATGATTCCCTGCACTGATTCCCACTCCTCCTCTGGCCCAGATGGGCAATATAATGTTTGTCGGAGGGCAGATGCCACGTATATTAAGTCAGTCGAAGGGAAGCTGAACGGGTGTACTAGTGGGTCCTCTACAACCCAACCCTTGAGGGGTCCCCATTAAGAAATGGAAGGCTAATAAAAAATAACTTGCAAAATTAAAATGCCTTCCTGGATTATGGCTTTGCCTGGGTATGCTACTCTGCCTTTAGTTTGCTTTTAACACAGCATTAAGGGAAGGTCTTGAGATTTAAGAAGTAGCTTAGGGTATTGAGAATCTGTGAGTTTTTAGCTCAGTGATAGTGATTGATATTGGGATAACTGTGTTTTTTTTTCTTTTTTTTTTTAATTTTTTGTTTCTAAGCCCCCTCAAAAGAAAAGATGGTCTGAGGTGTGTTTAGTCACTTTAGAGAGCTGGCTATTCAACTTCTGCTGAATGTGATATGTGATCAAGATAAGATCTCCAAACTCTTTGGACTCCTCTGTAGATCCCCAGAACCACTCCTTTCCTTCCTCCTTGCTTTCATTTTCTCCATTTGTCATCTCTCTGGATACAGCAAAATGTGAAGGCTGAAGAAGGAGATGAAGTAGTTTTAACTATTGGAGGTAT